TAACTTACGAGCGCGCCCTGATCTTGGAAGATTGGCTGCGCGTCGGGCGGCGAGTTAAGCACGTGCAGCGGCAGCCGGACGTTGCGACGAGCACGCGCGCGCGAGAAGTGGGGGCAGTGGCAGAGCGGGCGATGGGAGCGGATACGGGTGGCAGCGACAGCACGGTAGGGGGAGCGGGCAGGGACGGCAACAGTGGCAGCGCAGCTGGAGGCTCGGGGAGGAATAGCATTGTCGGCACGGTGCGATGAGGCAGCTCGTATGTAAATCGCTCGCCCAAAACAATACCAGTCGCGGTGCACACAACCTCGCCGGCTCCGTCAGCCCTGCAGCTCGCTCAGCAGCCCCAGCAGCTTTGCCGCCTGCAGCCCCGCAGCCTGGCGTCATCAGCGCAGCGCGGTTTCATCGCTGCATTCTGTTGCGCGGGGCTTGCCGGCCCAGTACTCTTGGCCTGCACGCGGCCCCCCGGAGCCGCACTTGCAGCATTCTGACAACTGAAGCGTTCCAGCGGACATCCGGATGCCGCCCGTCTCCGTGGGCACGCTGGCTGCTCTTCCTCTTGCACGGCTTCGGCTTGCTCCGCGTTTTCATGCCTGCAGCGGGTACCTCAGCACAGGCTGGCCGCACCGGCCGGCCATGGCGTTGTTCTTCGCGCCGTGAGTGTCCCCTCCCTGATGCTCGACCTCCCCGATGCTCGTGATCCCCAGGATCCCCGTGATCTTCCCGATCCTCCTGACCCTCCCGATCCTCGTGACCCTTCCGATCCTCGTGACCCTCCCCAGCCTCGTGACCCTCCCAAGCCTCGTGACCCTCCCCAGCCTCGTGACCCTCCCCAGCCTTCTCCTTCCCGCCGTCCGCGGCCGCTCTCGTCCCCCCTCCCCCCCTCGTTGCAGCCGGACAATGGGTGCCGCGTCGCAGCCCGACCCCTTAGGGCGCGCGCGCGCGGATGGCTTCTGCCGTGCTGGGGCGAAAAAAAAAGATGTTGTTCGTATGGCGAGGTTGATTGTACACTGTAGTGGTCCTGCTGATGGTTTGGCGATGTTGTTGGTGGTGGTGGTGATGGTGATGATGATGGTGATGGTGATGATGATGATGATGATGATGATGATGATGATGATGATGATGATGATGATGATGATGATGATGATGATGATAGTGATGATGATGATGATGATGATGATGATGATGATGATGATGGTGGTGGTGGTGGTGGTGATGATGGTTGTGGTGGTGGTGGTGATGATGATGATGATGATGATGATGACGATGATGATGATGATGATGATGATGACGACGACGAGGACGATGCTGAAACTGATGTCGGTGATGATGATGCTGAATGTGATGATGATGGTGACGATGAGGATGAGGGTGAGAATGAGGATTAGGATGGGGCTGAGGATGATGATGGTGATGGTGATACTGATGACGATACTGATGAAGATGCTGCTGCAGTCATTGATGGTGGCTCGGGTGGGAGGACGCAGATGGTGCCATGGGGAGGCAGCGCCGAGTGCTGTCCTCGTGTGCCGCCAGCAACGCTCGGGGGGGCCCCGCCCCCTGCCCCGGCACCAGCAGAAATACGGCCCAGAAGCGGATAGCTGTACACCTTAGGCGATGCTTAAGAAGACCCAAGTTTTCGGCCAGAGTCTCGATTATTTTTAACGTTTCAATGTAAATCTTAAGTTTTTAATGGGAACGTTGGGTTTTTATTCAAGTTCTGAGACTATGAATTTCTTAACCCATGATTTCTTAAGCATTTCGCAGGGTGTACTGGCCCTCCCTCTTCGGGCTGCCGCCCTCCCTCCCTTGTCCCTGAGTCACGGAGACATCCGAAGGTGAGGCGCATGGAGGCCCCCGAGGCAACGGGCGGAGGCGTCGGGATACCCCCCATAGCACGAACGACGAACGAGACAATGGAACACCTTAAACCTTCAATCCACCTCCTCTTTGCACTTGCCAGGCTCCAGTCGACGGAACTCGGGGGTAATGTTTTCTTCCTTTTCCTCCTCCTTGTATTCCGTCTTCCCTCCTACCTGGTGCAATTACTGTTGCTGCTGCTGCTGCTGCTGTTCCTCCTCCTCCTCCTCCTTCTCCTCCTCTTCCTCCCCGGACCTGCGCCGGAGGTGTACCACGTGCGGCCAGGGGACAATCTGAAAGGTCACCCGACCCGCGCGCAGCCGCCACGCTCTAGACAGGATGCGTCGGTTGCAGATCGGAGGCGTTGACAGCGACAGAAGGGACAGCGGCGGCGAGGTAGCAGCGTGGCAAGCGAGGGGGCACGCAATCATGAGGCGAGGAGGGAGCGGAGGAAGGGCAGGGGGCAAGAAGGACAAAGGGGGGGCAAGGATTCAGGGGGGGACGGGGATGAGGGGAAGCAGGAGGAAGAGTATGAGGAGGAGGAGGAGGAGGAGGAGGAGGAGGAGGAGGAGGAGGAATCCGTGGCCATTTTGGCTCACGCCATTTTGGCTCAAGAGCCGTTCTGGTTGCTGAGCCTGCGCGCGAGGGGGCGGGCCCGGATTTCCACGCACGTACTTCAGGATGGCCCGCGTGTGAGAGCCAGTCTGGTGGGCCGCGGCGGTGTGAGGTCATGGGCGCTTGCCGACTCCGCACGTGGCGACGCCTCTGCTGGGCGGGCAGCTGGCGGAGAAAGCTCGTCAGAGGCGCGTGCAGCGACGGCGAAGCACAACATCGGCGACGCCGACTCCGAGGACGGCGCCCACGGCTCGGTGTGCGACGTGGGCTCGGAGCTCGGCGTCCTCGGCGGGTCGCTCGGGTCCACGGGCGGCGACGCGAGGTGCGACAGGTGCGCGGGCGAGGGCACGGCGAGCGACGCGGGCGCGGAGGTCGGCTCCATGGGTGGCGACGCCGTGCGCAGCGAGGTCGCGATGAGCAGCGTGGACTCGACAAAGGTTGGACACGTTCGAGGTGCTTGTGCTGAAGTCGTCGGGGGTGATGGTGCTGGCGAGGCCCCAGTACTCCAACTCCGACACGGGCTCAAGGGCGGCCAGATGGAGGAGCGGAGCATCGACGGCGTCGAGTGCTGCGCCGACCGCCTGCCGCCGCCCGAGCACGCGCAGGATATCAAGGGCATGGTGAGCGGCGCGGGCTCGGAGGCTGGCGCTTCGTGGGCTGCGACGCTGGTGCTGAAGTTGTTTGGGGTGACTTCAACTCGCGCAGAATATCAAGGCCGACGAGTGCGCCAACGGTGACCGAGGGCACTGGGCGGACCAGGACTTCGGCCCCGAGGACGCGCTCGACAAAGCAGCTGCTGGTGTACCTGGTGGTGGAGCTGCTGGAGGCCCTCGCGAGTGCACCCACGAGGTGGGAGGTCGCACGGCGGGGCAGCGCATTGACACTGAGGAAGGCCCTCGCGAGTGCGCCCGCGATGTGGGAGGTAGCGCGGCTGGGCAGTCTGATGTTGCGAGTGAGGATGCGGACAACCACGACGGGGAGGTCTCTCATGTGCAGTCTTTCGTCCTCGTCCAGGGCAAGGGCAGGCGCAACAACAATAACCGAGCAGCACGGATGTGGTGTCAAGGTTACGCACGAGGACGAAGGGGCCACACTTCGTTGCGAGTCGGTGGACGCTGGCGTGTCCGATGGCGTCGCTGAGCTGGTGCATTTCGCCGCAGGTGTCGCGGCCGCCATTCGTGCTGATCTCCTGGACGGAGCGGCCCTGCTGATCTCCTGGAGGGACGTGTTCTTCGAGATGGCTTGGGCCCTGACGGATGCGGACTCGTCCTTCAATTCTCGGGCGGTGGTCTGCGGAGACGACCTCGAGGTGTTCGGAGACACGTGGTTCGACTGAGACTCAGTCTTGAGGCCTCGCTCTTCTCGGCCTGACGGCCATCGGCTTGTCTTGGTGCTGAAAGGCTTTTTGTCTCCATTTAAATGTTCTGGGTCGTGGAGCGCGGTTTCTGAACTGGGACGGATCCCGCTGCCTGCAACCGGGTGGGGTGATTGGCAATGCTGACCGCTTCCTTTCAGGAGCCAGAGGAACCAGATGAGGAGGAGGAGGAGGTGGAGAAGAAGAAGAAGAAGAAGAAGCAGAAGGAGGAGGAGGAGGAGGAGGAGGAGGAGGAGGAGGAGGAGGGGCAGGAGGAGGAGGAGGAGGAGGAGGGGGAGGAGGAGGAGCAGGTGGATGGGGCAGCGGTGGCAGGGGCGAAGAGGAGGGAGGCGGGGTGGACGGTGGCCCTTGGCGCCGTCTTGCCCTGCCCCGAGGCCCCCTTGGCCCGACCCCGCCCCTGCCCCTCCCCCCCCCCTCCGAAGGGTGGGGGCCGGGGGTCCGCAGAGCCACGAGCAGGGCCGCAGCCGGCGGCGGCCTGCCAACGAGCCGCTGGAGCGGCAAGACCCGGCGAGCGCGGCGGGCCGCCGCGGGCGGCCAGCCCCTCCAGGGAGCCCCAGGCATCGGGCCACTGGCAGGACGGGCGGCCCGACCCCTGGCCTTCAGGCCCTGGAGAGGGCACGGCCGCAAGCAGCATCCCCCGGCTCATCCTCCCGGGCGTTCCGCACGTTCCGCACCTCCGCCGGACCGCGCTTACCTGCTCCCCCCTTCTCCTCCTGCTGCTCCCTGCCCCCCCCCTCCTCCCCCGTCTTCCCCTGCTGCTGCTGATCCTCCTCGTGGTCCTCTTCCTCTGCCCTCTCCCCCTGCTCTTTGCTCCTCCTCGGCGCAGTCTCCCCTGTCTTCTGTCTCGACCCTCTCCTCCTGCTCTTGACTCTTGACTCCTCCTCGACGCACTCTCCCCTATCCTCCTCTTCCTCCTCCTCCTCCTCCTCCTCCTCCTCCTCCTCCTCCTCCTCCTCCTCCTCCTCCTCCTCCTCCTCCTCCTCTCCTCCTCCTCCGCCCCCTTCTCTGTTCTGCTCGTGCTCCTGCTTCCCTTTACCAGCCCCCTTCTCCCCTTCCTTTCCCCCGGCGGGGGTGGGTGTGCGGCAGCGGGCGTGCCCGCGGGGAGGGCCCTCCGCCCACCCCCGCGGAGCAAGGTCAGCGCCGCCCGCCGCAGATGCCGAACTCGGGGCCCGGCAGGGCGCGCGGCTCGGAATGCCTCGGGGGATGCGAGATCGCGGGCGAGGGTTCATTTGACGTCTTGGCGACGCTGTGCCTCCAGGTGCCTCTTCCTCCTCCTCCTCCTCCTCCTCCTCCTCCTCCTCCTCCAACTTCATCCTCTTGTTTCTCCTCGTCATCATCATCATCTTCATCCCTCGGAGAGGGAGGAAGGAGCAGGAGGAAGACGAAGACGAGGCAGGATGAGGCAGGAAGCGGGAGGGCGAGAAGGCTCTCCTCGCCCTCCTTCCTCCTGCCCCTCCCTGCCCCTCGCTGCCGTGCATCTGCCCTTGCCCCGTCCTCCCCCCCTGCCCCCGCCTGCACGACCCCCAGACCGCCGACGTCATGATTTGCTCATATCGACGAAGAGAAAACGGCATTAACATAAACTTGTGGCGTTCCACGCAGATTTCTTGGATCCGCGCTGGGCGCCCCCAGCGGCGCCTCCGGCGCCGCCACTGCCGCGCTCCGCGCGCCAGGGAGTGGGGTCCAGCACGGATCCAAGAAATCCGCGCGGAGCGCCAAAAGTTTATGTTTCTGCCGTTGTTTCTGCTTCCGGTGACCCGCGTTTCACCCCGAGCCGTTCTTCTGGACGGCCCCCAGGCCCGGCAGAGGGGCCCGCAGAGGCAGCACAACCACGGCCGAAGCGTCTCCCGCCGCGATGCTTCCTTCTCGTGGCCCGACGGGGGTCTGTGGGCCCCCATCGCCCCTTTGCCGCGCGCCCCTCCTCCGCGCGCCCGTGCGCGTGCGCGTGCGCGTGCGCACCTCCTCCGCGGGCGCGCCCTGCGCGCCACGGCGCGCGCAGGGCCCTGCGGCCCGGGGCGCCGAGGCCCCCGCGGCGTGCGCGGTGCCCGCGCACGCAGCGCGTCGAGGCGGCGGCGGCGACGACGACGCCGACGGCGGCGGCGACGACGACGACGACGACGACGAGGCCGACGACGACGAGGCCGCCGCGGAATGCGCAGGCCACCGCGGAGTGCGCAGGCCACCGCGGGAAGGGTGTTCCGAATGTCGCAAGACACGGGAGGGGGTCACAGCCCTCCCAATCGAGCATTTCAGGTCCCTTCCCAAGACTAGCCACGAAAGGGCGGCCGTTTGGCCAGACACCACTGGAACCCTCCAAGAGAGCTCCAAGCAGACCCCCCCCCAATTTCAAATCAGACCACCCCCCTTTTGTAGTGGAATCCGGAGTACCGTTGTTACTGCTGCCCTTCCCCTCGGTTTTGCCTTTGTATTGGGCTTCCTGGGAGACCCACGCCGCACGCCGTCACCCGCTGGATTCGCCTCGAAGTCCTGGTCGGAGCGTACCCCGGGAGAGGTCCCAGGAGTAGCGGTATCGGTACCTTTTGGTTTCCCCAGAGCGGAGAAACAGCAGTGATGGGGCGTATCCATCGGTCGTTGAACGTAGGTATTGTGGGATCCCCCAGGTTCCTCTTTGGGGCGCCTTCCTATTTCAGTCCTCGAGTGAGTTCCCTTGTCCTTCCTCTTTCGGGGCTTTCAGCGCCTTCCTACTTCATGTTTCTACCCACTCCTTCCGACCAGTATGCCAGTGTGCCCCTCCCCCGTGTGGCCATCTAAGGCCATGAGACTGTTTTTTGCCCATGGGGGAGGGGAGAGTGGGAGGGGGGAGAAGGGGGCCGGTCATGTCACGGGCGTCATCGCAAATGAGAAACAACCGGCTCCACTGGCAAGAGGCGCACATCATGCAGAAACGATTGAAAGCTCAACGAGTTTTGCTTCTTGAGGCCAGCCCTGTGCGTCCCCTCCCACATGGCCTTCCACCATACGGCGAATGGGCCACGCTGTGCTCCAACAGGAGGTGGAAGGCGACGTGGTGCTGCGAGCGCTGCCTGGTTGACCCTGGAACGCGCGCCCAGGTGACGTTCGGGAACTCCTGGCCAGGGACGGTACCCAGGTCGATCCTGAGGAGGCGGAGGAGGCGGAGGAGGAGGCGGAGGAGGAGGAGGAGGAGGAGGAGGAGGAGGAGGAGGAGAGAACCTTCCCAAGAGGATGCGGGCCCTGCCACAGCCGCCCACCCCCAGCCCGTGACCCGTTTCACCCCTTCCCCCCTGCGCCGGACGCGGGAGCCACGAGCGAGCCGACCGACGGGCGGCCCCAGGAGGCACCCCGCGCCCACACGGACAGGTGCGATCCGATCGGCGCTGCCCCTCGCGGAGCCGCTGGCGGCCCACGCGGTGCCCGGTGGGCACGCACCGCCAACCCCGAGACACAGCAGCGGCCCCGTGCTGGCGGGCGACTGGCCGCTCTCCCGGGACCACCCCACGAGCGAAGAGCCGAGGCCGCCCCCACGGCTCGCCCCGCCGGGCGCACCGCAGCAGCCAGCACCGCAGGAGCCACTCCGTCCCCGGCTCGCCACTCCGCGCTGAGCCCAGGCGGCGGAGCGGCACGAGGAGGGCACGCAGCAGCGCGAGCGGCTCCGGCTCACGCACAAGCCGGACCACTGGCAGCATCTCAGCCCTGCACCGCCAAGCACCAGTGCCCTTGAGGGCGCCAGGCCCTGCCCCCGGAGGCGCGCCCCGCCCGCCAGTGCAGCACGGAGACCCGCCAAGCCGCAGCCACCTCCCTCCTCCCTCCCTCCTCCCTCCTCCCTCCTCCCTCCCTCCCTCCTCCCTCCTCCCTTCTCCCTCCTCCCTCCTCCTCCTCCCTCCCTCCTCCCTCCTCCCTCCTCCTCCTCCGCAGCGCCGGCCCCCCCCCCTCTCGAGGGGACTCCAGGGGGGGCCACCCTGCCCCCCAGGTGAGCGAAGCCATTCTTGCGGATCTCCCCGATCTCGCCCCGCCTCCATGCCCGGGTCTCGCCAGCTGGCGCGTCCAACACCTACGGGCGGATGTAGCGGTTCACCCTTGCACCCAAGATGTGGCATCGGAAGACGAGGGGACGCACGGCACTGACAGAACAGTGCACGGGGGAAGGGCCTCCGAGCGGGCTCCGCCTCGCCTCGCGCTCCCCTTGTCGCGCGGCACACGGCTCGAAGCCTCTCTTTCCTGCGGGTGCGTCGGGTGAGCACGGCTGGCCTGCCGGCGGCTGCCCCGCGTCGCAGCGGCGTGCCGAGGGGGCCAGCGAGGGTGGGGGGGAAGGGGTGGCAAGCCGTAAGTCGGGCGTGTCCCAAGTCAGGGGATGATTCTTTTGAGAAGTTTTGACTATTTGAATATTTTGGGTGTATTTTTTATTTTTCCTCCAAAATCCGCCTGTAGGGGAACATGTCCGACCTAGGGCAAGCCTGCTCAAAAGGCTGCGCGGTCCCTCTGAGGCCCTCGGCCTCCTGAGAAGCCAACTGTGGCCTTCGGCGGAGGCTTGGAAGGCCTCTCGGGAGTCGGGAGGCCTTCCCAGGGGGGAGTGTTTTGCTTCCTGGGGGGCCCTTGAGCTACCAGGATTCCAGGGCACCCTGCGGTCCTTCAAGCTGGCGCAAAATGCGCCCTCAGATCTGACAGGAAGGTTCTTATCGTTTGTGCGTGGGAGGGCTGAGGACCGAAGTTCAACCATCTTCGCGAATGCTGGAGCCTGCGCTTCGGAGGAAGGCGCCGACCTCGGGCAGGTTCATAGCCTTGGAGGAGCCAAGGGTCGGGGACCCGTAGCGTTCCCTGCTCTCGCCGTGTTGCACGAGGGCGGCGGCGAACAAAAAGAAGCCCTGCGCGCAGATGTGCGATGGCTACAGTGTTGGCCGATCCCCGCTCTCCGCCGTGTTCGGGATGCTGGAGTCCGCGTCGGGGGGACCACTCCAGGCTACCCAAGTGCGGTCCGGGTAGATGGGGTCGGAGGATCGCGCCGCATCACCGATGCATCGGCGATGCGGCTCGATGTGGAGCCCGCCTTTCTTCACGCCGACGGCGCCGATGCATCGCCGACGCCGCGGATGCATTGCCGATGCGTCTTACTGCGGCGCGATCCTACAATCTCATCCTCTTTGACCCTAACTTGGGGGGCCCTCTAGATGCGCCACTGGCAGCGGTTATTGTTTCGCCGCTTTGCCAATGCACCGTTGACGTGCACTGTTTCTCTCTCTCTCTCTCTCTTTTTTTTCTCTCTCTCTCTCTCTCTCTCTTTCCCTCTCTCTAGATGCGCGCTAGTTTGGGCCAGCCCAGTAGCCTGGAGGTTCTGGGAACCTTCGCGGTCCCGCGTTGGCTCCTGCGAGCGCCTCTGAAGTCGAAGATTTGTGCTCCTGCGCGCAGATACCGTATGCCATGTTGTATATAGTCAAGGTCGGGATCCCGCAAAGGGTGTGTGTGCCCCAGGGTGTGTGTGTGTGTGTGTGTGTGTGTGAGTTCGATCGGCTTTTGCACCGCACCGCCCAAAACAGGTGCCCCCCCAGCCGCCGGCAGATCCCGATAGGTGCCGATGGGTGGGGCGTGCGGGGGGCACCTGCTTGCGGCAGCTCGGTGCACCAACGGATCGAACTCGTGCCTCCCCTCAGGGCCACCCCCCCTTTCTGGCGGCGCGCGCGAGGGGGTGGGGGGGAGGGGAGAGGGCTTCTTAGAAGGAGGCTGCTTCTTGGAGGGCGCCGGCCTTACATCTATAGATAAGGCCCGCGCCTTCTAAGAAGCAGGGGTGCTTCTACGAAGCCCCCCTCTGCGCGTGGCTGACCTTTCTTGTGGGTCCCGACCCCCCGCAGGCCCGCCGCTGCCCAATGCGCGTCGTCCTGGCCTGGAGGGCCGGGCGGCTCCTGGCCGCCGTGCCGCGCGGGGGGCTGGTGCCCGAGCGGCTGCGGCCGCCGGAGCCCGACGGCTGCGGGCCGGCCACGAGGCTGGTGGTCTGGGCGTCGCTGCGGTGCTCAGGGGCGTGGACTACACCTTAGGCGATGCTTAAGAAAACCTAAGTTTTCGGCCAGAGTCTCGATTATTCTTAACGTTTCCATGTAAATCTTCAGATTTTAATGGAAACGTTGGGTTGTTATTCAAGTTCTGAGACTATGAATTTCTTAACCCATGATTTCTTAAGCATTTCGCAGGGTGTAGGGGAACAAAAAGTGGCATAAACATAAAAACTCGGGGGTCCGCGCGGATTTCTCGGATCGGCGCTGGGGCCCCCCGGCGGCGCCTCCGGCGCCGCCCCTGGCGCGCTCCGCGCGCCAGGGAGGGGGGTCCAGCGCCGACCCGAGAAATCCGCGCGGATCTCCGAGTCTTTATGTTTATGTCGCTTTTTGTTCCCCTAAGGACAGCGTGTGGTGGTCCGGGTGATGCAGCGGTGCTCCGGTGCTCCCGGCAAGGCTGTCCGCGGTTTCGTCGGTGCGGCTGCGTCTCAGTCGGTGGCGTTCGGGCGGGCTCGGCTCGGTCGGCTGTGGTGTCGCCGCGGCGCTGCTGCGTCGCCTCGCCCCTTCTGTGCCGCGTGCGGCTTGTCGGGTGCCGCCGGCTTTTGGCTGTGTTGCTGCTGATGTGCGGAACCCTCCCGCTGTCAAGAGACCTCCATTTCCCTCCCTCCTCCGCAGTCTCCCTTCCTCCCCTCGGCCTTCCGCCAGAGCCGCCAGTGACGAGCGATCAGGAGGGCGACGAGGTGCAGCAGGAGAAAGAATGGCAGAGGAGGGAGGGGGCATAGGGACGCGATGCGCTTCTATGATCGACGATACCCTGCGCGGACCACCATGCCACCATGCCACCAAATATTACGTTGATTTTGTGATCGCCACCCGCGCACACACAATCTTTTTGGTCTCGGCAGCCTGCACCGCGATGTGTCGATGCGTCGGCTGGCCGAGGTCCCGGGGGGCCCCGCTGGCGATGCCAACCAACCACTGGCTCGGGGGCAGGGGGGCGCGCTGAAGTGTGCGCCGGCACCCCAGTCGCGCGGGTGGTGCAGGATTTCGTCAATCAACCGCTTCACCGTGGTCGGCCTTGGCAGTGTTGCTTCCCTGTCGTCCTTCGTGGCAGACTCGAGCGGGGAGCAGGCTGGCGATGCCGCGCAGGCCTCGCGGAGTGGTTCGGCCGCACGAGCGGTGGCCAGGTTCGCGGGCAAGCCCATCACCAGCCTCCCAAGCAGGAGGAGGGAGGGGAAAGAGGTGGAGGAGGAGGGTGTGGAGGAGCAGCAGGATGAGGGGAAGGAAGGAGGATCGAGGCTTCGTGTTTTGCTGCGCCTCTGGATGCCTCGGGGGCCTCCTGAAGACCTCTGTGCGCCTCTAGACTCTAGACATCTCTAGAGACCTCTTGGATGTGGAGGCTGGATGATGATGACGATGACTGCCATGGTGACAATGAGGATGATGGAGAAGGTGGTGATGATGGCGGTGATCGTGATGTTGAATATGATTATGATTATGATGGTGGCTACTATGAAGATGATGGCAGTGACGATGATTATGACGATGACGATGCCGATGATGATGATGATGATGATGATGATGATGATGATGATGATGATGATGATGATGATGATGAGGATGATGAGGATGATGAGGATGATGAGGATGATGAGGATGATGAGGATGATGAGGATGATGTATGGGGAGGATGATGAGGAAGGCGCGTCCAAGGTCTACGACAGCATGATCGCGCAGCCGAGGGTTGCAAACCGAGAAAAACAAGGGCACTGGGAGTACGTCCTCTTTGACCGCAGGTCCTCCTCGCCCCCCTCATCTTCCTGTTCCTCCTCCCTCATCCCTCCTCCGTCCCCCCTCATCCGTCACTCGCCTATTGGGCTCGGGCCTTCTCTGCCCATTCCGCTCGGAGCTCGAGGCCTCCCCGTTTTGAGGAGGAACTGCGCGAACCTGCTGCATAGGTGCTGCCAGCCTGCCCGGGCACAGATGGCCTTGGCCTGCGGCCAACGTCGCGATCACACCCATAACGCCCCCTCCTTACTGTTAAGTCGGGCGTGTCCCTCTACAGGAGGAATATTCACAAATAGTCGAACAATACTCTGGGGACGATTTGTTCTACCATGTTTGACTTTTTTGAACGCTTTGGGGGTCTTTTAACTTTCTCTTCAAAACCTGCCTGTAGGAGGACATGCCCGACCTAACCTTATCGCAGCATTCACATCAACTGAGACATCGGCCAGCTGGAGCCCCACGGAACACATATTAAATCTCGTCCCCTGCTGGCCCAGGGACCCAGAGAAACCGGGGTCCTCGGGACCCTCCAAGACAGACAAGCCATGGGCCCTAGGATTTCTCACCGCAAGATTTCTTTTCGCATGTGTCTGCTGTACAGGACGGGCTGCCGCGCTCCTCCGTGGCGGCGAGTACACCACAGGCAGGCACTGGGTGTGCCGACTTTGGGTCTTGCACAGGCCCGAGCTCGGACCGAGGAGGGAGAGGTCTCTCCAGCCGGGGCCGCGCACCGTGTGCAGTGCTTCTGGCCACGTGGGCTCCGTCTGACCACGGCAACACAAGTCCTGCAGCCGTTGTGGCGGCGGAGACTGCAGCGGCTACGGGCCAGCAGCTCGAGCGCAGGGAGGCTGGCGTGGGGGTTGCTTGCTGCTGTGAGGCTTCTCCTTGACGCTCATCCTGAACTGCGAGGTTCTCTCGCTTGTCCTGCAGGTTCGCCACGAGTCTGCACCTTGGGGTGACGGTGAGCTGGACTCTGTTGCGGGGGCGGAGCGGCAGATCACGGAGGACACCCGCCCACACATTCTATGTCAAGTTGCTCGCAAGGCTCATGCCCACTCGGAGGCCAAGCTACGTTCAGCTTGTGGCAATGCTTGCGGCGGATGAGACTCCCACATTGAATGACAACGGAACCATTACCACATAGGAGACCTTGCGAGCGCCAGCAACAAGTACTACGTACGTTTGCAAGGCTGTCGCTGTACGACCTGCGCGTGCTGCCATGTAAGGCTCTGCTGCATTGTTCGAACACAGGTGGTCCTGCATCCCAGCATCCCCGCCATCGTTATACTGGCCTGCGCGACTGGTGCCGCACTCGCTTGCAAAGGGGCGAGCTTTCGGAGGTCCTTTTCGCATGATACAGGATGGCCATGTTTGATGAAGACTGCACGTCTGATCGCTGTGGCGTTGGCGACGAGGACGCCAAGCACACCGAGGGACATCCCAATACATCATCCAGCTGCACGGCCGCTCGAGTCCGCCACCACGCCGATGGGCGGGCGGGGGCCCGGGGAATGCTCTGCTCAAGTCGCTACGCCCGCGCAGGTGTTGTTGGCACCATTTTTGTGTGCTCCTTGCCCGTAGAAGGCACCATGAAGCGCAGGGGCTTTTTTTCAGGCAGCAAATGCACGTTCGGTGGAGAGATCTCTGCTGCTGCCTCGCAAGAGGCGACGCAGAAACGAGCAACGAACCGACGAAGCGCGGTGGTGGATCCCTTGGGCCTGCGAGGGCGTGTTCGAGCGGACGGGGAGGAGTGAAGGGCCCCCAGGACACACAAATAAATACACACAAATAAAAAGACTCCCCATATTTTCCCATATTTTCTGGGTTTCTGTCTTCCCCCCCACTTCCCATATTTTCCCATATTTTCTGGGGAATCGACGATTAATTGTGTCTGTGTGTTTCTTCCTCTCCTGAAGGAGCGAGGTCACGCAGCCGATCCGCAGGCCTGCCGAGTGGCGGTGTGCAGACCGCGGGAGGGCGGCTCGCACGGCTGCCCCGTGGGCTCGCGCCGAGGTCTGAGCTGATGCTTCTCGAGGGGCCCGCCCACCAACAGGGCCGCGTGCCCCGCAGAGCACACACGGCAACGGTGACGCCGACCTTTTCTGCCTCCCGCCTTCCTCGTGGCCCTGTCCTCCCTCCTGCCACGTCCTCCTCTCGTCCCTCGTTCCCATCCCGCTCTTCGATCCCCCCCTCTTCACTCCCCCGAATCTCCTGCTTCCCCCTATGACCCATCCTTCGTTGCCTTCCTAGTCCTCACTCCTGCCCTTCCTCCCCCTCCTTGCTCGTCGCCCCTGCAGCCTCACACCCTACGTGCTCCACCCTCGTCCCTCTCTCTTCCCTCGTCCTCCCCTCCCCTCCCTCCCGATCTCATCCTTCCCTCCCTCGTCCTCCCCTCCCTCGTCCTCCCCTCCCCTCCCTCCTCCTTCTCATCCTTCCCGCATCTCGTTCGCCTCCCGATCTTCTCATTCTCTTGCCCCTCATCTCCTGCCTCGTGCCTTCTCCGCTTTCCCTTCGTTACCATGTCCTTCTTTGGGGTTCCCAGGCCAGCTCTGGAAGGCAGTGAGTTCCAGGCCAGGATGCGCTGGGAAGACGCCATCCAGGACGAATGCTGATTTGCAGCAGGCGTGTGTTGTGGACGGTAGTTGCTATCGACAAGAGGTCGCTGAGCTATCTCGGGCAGGGTACAGTTTAGCCTTGCCCGGAGACGACGGGCTCCGACATGGTAGGCCCAGTCCACACTCCGTCCATTCACACTTTCCAGTGCGCCGAATTGCTAGAATTGCCGATGAGGGGACGGAGGTGGTTGGTTCCATTTCTTTTTACAGCGACTGTTACAACGTGGTTTCGCAGTGTGCGGACCCGCAGCCTTGTCAGCTCAGTTGGAAACGCCCGCTTGCTGGGCTCGTGATAGTGTATCGTCTAGGGGCGAGTGCCGTCTAGTCGGTCGGAAAGGTGGCAGCTCATAACGATCCAATCGGCGTTGGCATATCAGATGCCAACCGCTGGAGGCGCTCAGGCAGCGACGAGGCCGACAAGGCCGCCAAGACAGATGTTGCTGCCCACCCCTCGTCGTGGGAGGCCGAGATGCAGCAGCTGCATCATCACATAAGAAACGGAAACAAACAACGCTAAATCGGTGTGTGTGTGTGTGTTTGCCGTTTTCTTGCCTCTCGGAGTGCCCGTGGGCTGCTCCTGAAAAGGTCGCGAAGCCTCCCAGTGGGAGCCTCCCTACAAGTGCGACCACGTTGCTCTGCTCGGAACTCGCACTGTTTTTTCTTGGGCGCTGTTGGGATATTTGAAGCAGAGGGGGTCCAACCCCCCCCCCCCTTCCACCTCCACACAAAACAAGGGGAGAGGGGAGAGGGGAGGATCCGGACCCCCCCCCTCGAAAAATTGCTCAGTGGGGTCCAACCCCCCCTCCCCTCCCAGAGAATTCTCCAGGGGGTGCAACCCCCCCCCCCCGTGGCCGCCGTTCCGTTGCCGGCGGACGACGACGCCGACGACAAGGCGGCGGCGACGACGAGGACGGCGGCGGCGACGACAACGACGACGACGAAGACGAAAACAACGACGCTGCCCGCAAACGGCAACGACGGCGTCGCCGCCGGCAAACGACAACGACGACGTCGCCGACGACGATCGAGACTAAGTGGGGTCCTGTTGCAACTGGACTGAGCCCTAGTCGGGTTCACTTGAAGGCGGATCCAGCCCTAACGAAGTTCTATGAGAGTTGGGTCCAGCCTTGAAAAGTGTTCTACTAGCGGTGGCTCGAACCCTGGTAAAATTCTATTAGAGCTGGAGGGTCGGACCCTGGTCGGATTTTACAAAGCTGGATGCCGCCATATTTGGATTCTACTAGGGTTGAAAATTTTGATCCCATTAGAGGTGCACCGAGGCCTTCGTAGGATTCTATCAGAGCTGGGTCCAGCCCTAGTAGGATTCTTTCAGAGCGGGATCGAGCCTCTGTAGGATTCTTTCCCAAGCTGGATCCAGCCCCAGCCGGATTCTAGTACAGTCGGATCGATCCCTAAAGGATAACCTTAGATTTGCGCCCGGCCTTCGTAGTAGAGCTGGATCGAGCACTCGCACGATTCTATCAGACCCGGCGCTGGGCGCGGGCGCCGGCGCCAAGTGCGCCGCCGCTACCGCTGCTGACGTTGTGCTGTCGTCGGCGTCGACGTAGGCGTTGTCGTCGTCGTTGTCGTCGTCGTTGTCGTCCTGTTCGTCGTCGTCGTCGTTGTCGTCGTTGTCGTCGTTGTCGTCGTCGTTGTCGCCTGCTTCGGCTTCGTCGTCGTCATCGTCGTCGTCGTCTTCGTGTCGTCGTCGTCGTCGTCGTCGTCGTCGTCGTCGTCCGCGCCGCGACGACGTCGTCGTGGTCAGCGTTGTCGTCATCGTCGTCGCCTGCTGGCAACCGCGGCAGGGGGGGGGGAGCGGAGGGGGGGGGCTCTGACACCCTGAAAAATTGTCCTGGAGGGGGCGGTGGGGTGGGGGGGCTTCTGACCCCCCGGTTCTTTGGGATGTGGGAAGGGTGGAGGGGGGCTTGGTTTCTGACCCCCCCGAAGGTTTGTCCGGGGGGGTTCAAACCTCCCCTTCTGTAATTGTTGTTCCAGCCAGCGACGGTGGTTTGCGCTCCCTCGCTAGAGGCGAATGCGTCAACGCTTGCAGTCCACATGTTTCTAGTCTTCGGGCAGCGAATCATAATCCAGCGTCCTTTTTAGTTCTGGATGGTTATTCTATTCAAGTGGCTTACGCCATGTCGCTGGCTCCCAGAAGAGCGGGTGAGGCGTTTGGGAATCTCTTGAAGACTTCTTCTGGGCATCTTCGGCGCCCCTTGAGAGGCTCTCGGCACCAGCTGGCGGTCTCGTGGGTTCTCTTTCTTCGAGGTGGCGGCTCGAAATGTCAGATCGAGTGTCCGCTAGTGGGATCATCTTGAGGCCCGCTTTTGCGCTCACTGTAGCCGTCTTGATTGAACGTTTCCTCCGCGGCATTGTGACCGTCTTGGAGCTGTCTTGGGGCGATAGTGGGCCGTCTTGGAGCGATATGAAGGGTGTCTCGAGTCCTTCTCGACGCTGCGCTGACGACAAAGCTGGGTACGTACGTGAGGGCGGCGTCTTCTTCAAGGATTTGATTGAGCGTTGCTTCTTCGGACCTTCTTGCTCGTTTGGAACGCTTGTTGTGCGTCGTGTAGGCTTCTTGGGCAATCTTGCGCTGTGGTTGTTTTTGATGACTCCGCGCTGTTTCCGAGCCCAGTTTGATCAAGAATAGATGCCATGGGTACCTCGGAGGTCACGGCGTGTGCCTCTGGAGTCTCTGGGGGTGCGTTGGCGAGCTCGTCCTCGCACCCTCTTCCTCTTCAAACTGGATCCGTCACGTGATGCGAATCGGAGGAGGAGGAGGAGGAGGAGGAGCAGGAGGAGGAGGAAGAGGAGGAGGAGGAGGAAGAGGAGGAGGAGGAGGGGAGGATGAGGAGGGTGAGGAGGTAGATGGTGGCTGAGGAGCAGAAGGGAAGGAACACGAGGGCTGACCCCCAGAAAGAGTGAATGCTTGCCACGACCGTGGAAGTGATGCAGTGGCCTTCGATTCAACCCCCGCAGTGCCTGGGCTGTGGGCTAGGTGCCGCCAGGATGCACGTGAGGGCCTCCGGGGATGCCTTCCAGCGGCCTCTCGGAGGGCCCTTGGGGCCATCCAGGGGCCTTTGGTGGCGTCTTGGGTGCCTCTTGGAGGCCTCTTGAGGGCGCTTCGGGGGCGTCTGGGGGACTCCTGGGGACATCTTGGGGGGAGAAGCTGGACATGGCAGTTCACATTCCTTCTCTATGGCCTCTCTTGAGGCCCTCTTGGGGCTCTCTTGAGGCCCTCTTGGGGCTCTCTTGGGCCGTCTTGGGGGTCCTGAGGCCATCTTGGGGCCACGCTGGGCTGTCCTGGGCATTGAGGCCTCGTGGAGGGTCTTGGGACGATCTTAGAGGCCCCTTTGGCCGTCTTGGACGCTGCGAAACTGGCAAAAAACGAGTATGCTAGAAGTGCATTTTCCCAAAGGGAATAGGATGACTTTTGCTTCTTGGGGCCCTCTCGGCGGTACTCTTGCAGCACTTTTGGGCAGTCCTATGAAGCTCGCGAGCAGTCTCGAAGCCATCTTGGACCGTTGCGATCGACCCTGGGCCGACTCAAAGCTCTCTTGGGCTGTGTTGGCGTTCCGTGTGGGCTCTCTTGGGCCATGTTGGGGCTCTTCAGAGGCTCGAGAAGCCCCAGGGGTGCGTTCAGGAGGAGCTCGTCCCGCCCCCCCCCCCCCCCCCCCCAGGCCTTCCCCGCCCCCCCTCCCCCCCCCTCTCATGCGATGTTGGAGCCCTGGGGAGAGGGAAAAGATGACGGAGGCCGGCCAACTGTCTCACGCGGTGTTTTTACCCCCGGCAAGCGGGGGGTCGGCGGGTGTCAAACCGTTGGAAGTGCCATGCATATGCCGCCCGGAGCTGCGAATCGAGGCGTGGCCCAGGCGTGCAGACCGCCCGCGCGAGACCATGCCTTCGCTTTCAATCGAATTTGCAATGGCCTACACCTTAGGCGATGCTTAAGAAAACCTAAGTTTTCGTCCAGAGTCTCGATTATTCTTAACTTTTCAATGTAAATCCCAAGATTTTGATAGAAGTTCTGGGTTTTATTCCATTTCTGAGACTATGAATTTCTTAACCCATGATTTCTTAAGCATTTCGCAGGGTGTGTGCCAAAAGAGGTCCGACCTCCTCATTGAGGCGGTTCCGTGGCACTAATCCTCAGCCTTGCAATTCATGCCAACATCCTTGTCAGTCTTTCTTGTCGTCCTCCTGTTCTTTATGCTGTTCCTCCTTCTCGTCTTTGCCGTGTTCCTCCTCCTACCGTCTCATGTCCCTCCTCCTCCTCTTACAATTAGAGCATATACATTATATGGTGCTCACTTTCCCGAAGACGCCGACTGGGCAGAACGCCCCCCTCCGCGTATTGTTTCTCTGCACATGCAATCCCCCAGATTTGGTCGATCAGATCTGTTTTCCAATCCGAGCGTTCTCGGTCCTTCCCGAGTCGTGCTCCCGCTGCAGCGTGGGCCTCATTTGGGATCGTGGCTCTGCTCCCGTCGCTCAGAATCGCGCTCTCGGCCCTGCGCGGGCCACTTTGCCAGACCCGAGTCCTTCATCGTTGTCGCCCCCCTCCCCGTCCCCTCCTCCGCCTTCCCCCGGTCCTGCTGCTCCTCCCGCTCCGTCCACTCCAGGTCCTGCTGCTGCTGCTGTTCGTCCTGGTCGTCCGGCTTCCATGTCCGCTTCCTTTTCTTCCTGCTCATCCTCCCGCTCACCCGCCACCTCCTCCTATGCACGCGGATCCCCTGTGTCCGCTTGAGCATAACACGATTTTTGTTTCGAGTTCTAGGTCCGCTATGACATGCGATCGCGGAAAGAGAAAACTCAGCGCCATGGGAAGGGATGTGAGGGATGGGTAGGATGTCAAGCGAGGCGCGAGCACAGCTAGCTTGCCTCGCCCCTCACCCTCCTTCCCCCAGGTCCATCTACCCCGAATGGGTGATAGAGCTGGCGTTCGATGGCAACCACTGAGCGCTACTCGCCTGATCCGTGATCCGTCTGGCGGGTCTCAAGGGCGAGTCGGGCCGACGGTGCCGGATTGCTCCTCCAACGAAGTTGAGGTAGAAGCGCGCTGCCATATCAGTCGACAGCTTCGGCCGCTTCGAGCGGGGAGAAAAGCGGCTTGCCACACCTCTCCGGAGGGATGCAGTCTTCGAAGGCAGGGCTGCAGCGTGAGAAGGATGCCAGCGGGAGGGCACGCTCTTGGTACAGGTGCACGCGCGTGCCAGGGTTCTGGCTCTTGAGATGCTGTGAACCCTCAGAAGCGGGCATAGCATTTTTTCACACGGGGCGCTTTCGCGTTGCGCCAGGCCCAGGGACCATCACGGATCCATCTGGCTCGAAACATGCAGCAGAAAGATAGAGTCTAGGGCTCCAGTCGTGATTTGTCGCGATGCTGCAAGTTTTTTTTCAAAACGTCGGATCTCAGGGAAGCTCCTTGTTCTAGATGGCGTGGAGCGGCTCGCTGCGCAGCGGGAGCACCGCGCGAGGGAGAAGGGGCGTCGAGAGCTGCTCTCTAGGGTTCTGCATGATTCGGAGGGCCAAGTCTACCAAATTTCCAGGGAAGACGAATATCTTGGGCCGATGCCAAATACCGTTCTGACCTTCTAGCCACGAGCGTCCATAGACATTGGGTGTCGATACGTGTATGGGCACATTCGGGGTGGATGCGTCTATAGGCAACGCGGCCGTTGCGTTCGGCGCAGTTTAAGGTCGGAGAAGGGGTAGTTTCATTTACAGTCGGCCCTGATTAGTAGGTCGACCCTGGCAAATCAAGGGTACCCTTGAATCCTGTGTCTCGCGACCCATGCCTCCCACATTCCTATGGCAACGTGGCCCTCAGAAGAGTCTTGTGTCCTCTTGCGTGTCCTGTCCAATCAAGTCCGACTGTACGACATGCTCCTGTTCTAGAGCAGGTCCCACACGGTGCTCTAATGCATGATCAAGTGAGGACGTGGCAGTTGAGCCAACGCCACATCTACGAAGCCGGCTGGCCAGTGCAGTAAGGGCGTCCCGGAAAAAGGGGCCGCACCTTGGGGGCATCGAGAGGGTTTGACTTTCTGGCCCCCAGCGGAGGCCGGAAGAGGGACGGCTTGAAGCCCCAGGGAGCAGGGCGAGTGCGTCGGCGAAGTCCAGCGGTTTACAGTGGAAACGCATGCCAAGAAACATCCTGCTTGCCTCCAGGGTGCCCTGGGTTTCTTGGGTTACGATGGTTTTGCTATGGAAAGCGTGACGACCCCACACCAAACATCAATGGATGTCCTGGGGTCTCAGGGTTGGGTTTCTTGTGGAAGGTTTCTTGTGGTCGAGCTCCTACTGTAGGCCTCCCAGATCCGGTCCGAGTAGATGAGGTCGGAGGATCGCGCCGCATCGCCAGTGCATCGGCTGTGTCGCCGATGCATTGGCGAGCGGGAGCTTGACGGAAGCCAGCAGTCGTAAAAGCGTGGCCATCCACAAGAGAGATCAACGCCGACGTCAGCGTCAGCAGGGTTTCCAGCGTCGGCCATGCTAGCACATAGCACACTCCCACTCTTCGCTCCTCCCAGCAGGGCAGAGCAAAGCAGCGACACTTCTGACAAAATCCTCACTTACGACAAAAACAAGCTTGGATCTAAGTGGCTGCGAGAGCAGAGTTCTCACACAAGAGGGCCCCTCCAGCGGCCAAAACGCACAGGCCTGGAGGCGGCCCCCACGTGGGAATCTCCGGCGGGCACCACCCCTCCCCACATCGGAGGCCCCGCAGGACACCAGGCAGGCCCGCTCTCGTGCTCCCCGCAGGGAAGGAAGGAGGAGGACGCACGAGGGGGCGGGGGAGGAGGAGGAGGAGGAGGAGGAGGAGGAGGAGGAGGAGGAGGAGGAGGAGGAGGAGGAGGAGGAGGGGCAGGAGGAGGATGATGAGGAGGAGGAGTGGAAGGAGGAGGAGGAGGAGGAGGAGGAGGAGGAGGAGGACGAGGAGGAGGAGGAGGGTGCGGGGCGAAACGACAAGGGGAGCGGGCAGGGGGCGGGAAAAGCCCGAGGCGGACCCGCGGATTTTGGAGGCCTGAGGCCGTCAGGCCGGCAACCGGGAGGGGGGAGGGAGCACGACGGAGAGGGAGCGCGGAGGAGGAGGAGGAGGGTGGAGGAGGAGGAGGGGAGGGATCACGACGAAGAGGGAGGGATCACGACGGAGAGGGAGCGCGGGCAGGCGCGGAGGACCCCCGGGGCCTGGCCCACCAGGGCGCCGGCCCTCTTCGGGTGGCAGTGCCTCAACGGCACCGTAACGGGTACTTACGAACGGGTACTTGGAATGTTTGCCGGAAGTTGCCACTTTAGGGCCTTTCTCTTGCGTTGCAGCTTTGCCCACATCGGGAAGGATTGGGTTCGCTGGGTCGCTGGCCAAAGTACCCGTTAGTGGAGTCCCCGTTTGAGGGGCGCTGAGTGCCCTTGGTGGACGGCCGAGGGGGCGGACAGGAAGTGTAAGCCCGCCGGGCCACGGAGGCTCTGGCCACACAGGCCAAAGGCTCTCCGGAGGCTGTCGGAAGCGCTCGGAGGTTCGGACGTGTTCAGGTGCGCATCCACCCAGGCACCACGCGTGCTGCTTGGAGGTGGGGTGACTGGCCCATGAGATATGTAGTCGCCTGGTCCGATTCTGGAGGCACGAATAAACTTTGCTTCGTGCGGGCGCCAAGGGCCTATAGTACATACAGATCGTGATAAGCGCGTTTGGTAGGCATGGGCTCGATGGATCTAAAACAGAGAAACTGACATAAAGAGGGGAGAGGGGGGAGGGGAGAGGAGTTCACCGTCCTCTCTTGACAGCCGGGCTCGTCGGCTGTCTTCCTGCGGGCGCTGGCTCCGAGGCTGATCCCCCTATGTTGTGCAACCTACGTGGTGCTCCATATGGTGCAATTGATTTTAACAGACGTGTTGACACATCCCATGCTCTTGCAAACATCCCACCCATTCACCCGCAACTGGGTTTGCAAAACCCAGCGACTGCGATGCATGCTTGGCGTTGGCTGGTGCCTCCTCTGCGGCCGCGCCAGCCCTAGCATGCGCGCGCAGCGGCCAGCTAGTTTGGCGCCACCGACGCGGCCGCGGTGGCGTTGACCGCTGGGCGCATCCCAGCGGGCACTTTACTGCGAGTCGGCGACTTGGGCGGGCGCGGTATCATGGCAACGCCGACGACGGTAGACGATGATGATAGTAGCGATGCTGGTGACGATGTTCGCATCGACGAAGGCGCGGCCAGTGCGGGAGCCGATGCTCGACGATGACGGCGTCTTCGCGTCGGTGATGAAGGTTTGGGAATGAGTGCGACATGCGTGCGCGGCGGACGCGCGATAATGGCCCGCATGGTGTTATTTGACACGGATCGTGCCCCCCCCCCAGCACGCGCACAAGGGCGTGTGATCGATGTCGGCATGCGGCGCCAGAGGCCCGTTTGGCAGAAGTCAGTGGCGCGCGCGACGACGCGCGCGCACTTCGCCCAACTTGTTGTAAAGGGCTCGCGGCGGCAAGAACGCAAGAGCGTTTGGTTGCAAAGGTTTCGACATGCGCGCGCGAAGCCCGTTTGGTAGCATGTTCTGAACATGTTGAACAACCTATGTGTGTGTGTTTGTTTTTGTATATATATATATATATATATATATAAACAAAGCCTATGTATGATGAAAAACGCAAGAGCGTGCGCGCACGTTTTTTGTTAAAAATCCGTGTTGCGAAATCCGGTGTTTTTCTGGACACTCGACTTTGGAAATATTTACCAAACCGAAGATTTTTTCCAAGGAATTCGGCATGCGCGCGCGACGACGCGCGCGTGCATTTCGTTTCATTTTTTGCAGGGATGATTGAATACTTATGGGTGTTGATAAACGAGTGTGCGCGCATAGTATTTTGGCAGAGGATGGTGGGTGGGGGGTAGAACCTGGCTTGGCTGGGATGGTGCGAGGTCAATTTCAGATGGACGATGGGGCAGAATCATATGTAGATTGCAACACAAACCGGCGTACCGATAAAGCCAGGAGGGGGTGGTGGTGGATTCCAGCTTTTTAAAAAGAAAAGAAAATTAGGGCCGTCCTGGGGCCCTCTTGGGCTGTCTTGGGGCCATGTTGGGCCGTCTTCAAACCCGCAGATCCACAAAACGGATATGCTAACAATATACACGTTCCACCAGGAGTGAAACGATTTTTGTTTTTGTTTCGGGGCTCTCTTAACGGCCTGTTGGGGCATCTTGGGGGCCTCGTGGGCTGTCTTCGGACCATCGAGGTTCCTCTTGGAGCGCTCTTGTGCTGTTTTGGTCTGTTTTGCGCCTTTTCCGGTGACCCTTCTGATCGCTTTGAGTCTGTTCGCAAGGCCCGGCAAGGCTCCCTGGGAGGCCCAGTAGAGCCAGCGGACCTTTTCCAAGGGCGTCCCGGCGGCCGCCGACACGTCCGAAAGGCCGTCTCGGTCGTCCCTGGGGGGGGGGGGTCGGTTTAGGGCGGGGTGTGTAGGGGGTTCCGGGTAATAAAGATATAGGCATAGGCATCTATCTATGTATATATATATACACACGCAAATGTGGAGATGTATGAGTAGGAAAATGTATATGTATATTGATGTATGTATATGTATGCATGCATGCATGCATGCATGCATGCATGCACGCACGCACGCACGTATGCATGTGTACATGTATATGTTATATGTAAGTATATATATGTATATATATATACATACATACATATATATATATATTGTATAGAAACAGGCTGGGAATAGATACAGAGGAGGAAGGGGGGACCAGGAATCTGTATGTGTATATATATACATATATTCCTGAGACCCCTTTCCTGGATCCACGGTTTGCTTCGGAGTGGAGCGCCGGGGGGCCGAGGAGTACTGCGACGGCGGTACTGCATTCGACCTGATCCACAATCAGGACACCTCCTTCGCGCGCGGCATGAGAAGTAGGGGGGAAGGAGGAAAAGGAGGAATCAGGAAGGTGGATGAGGGGGATGGCAAGGCGACGAAACGGCAAAACCTCTTCGCGTTCGACCCCGGTCAAGGGTTCCACTTGTTTGACCATCTACGGTCCCTGGCGTCTCCGTCTAGGGGCGCCCAGCTGCCACGGCTGTCCTGTCGTCGTGATGAATGGGTCTCTCACGAGAAAGAGTTCTGACCTGCAGAGTCCGAAAAGCCGCCAGGGCCGTGAGGACCGTGAAGACTGGAGTGAGGACTGCCGTACAAAGTGTGAAGACCGCGAGGACTGTGAGAAAAGAGCCCCCCGCACATTTTTCCTCCTGGTCCTCACGGTCCTCACATTATTTGTGGCAGGCCTCACTCCAGTCTCCACGGTCTTCACATGCTCTACAGCGGCGAAGCCGCTAGGGACGGTCCTTGGCGTCTCCCTGTAGGGGCACCCAACTGCCACGGCTGCGCTGTCGTGGTGATCCTCTCACGAAAAAAAAAGGCCTGGCCTCCAGCGTCCGAACTCCCGCCAGGGCCTGTGAGGACCGTGGGGGCCGGAGGAAAGGGTGCGGGGGCGGAGTCAAGGGCGTCGCTTTTTGGTCCATGGGCGGGATTGGGGGCTGCGGTGAGAATCGAGGTTCGAGGATCTAGTTCTTTGTTGGGGAGGCCGAGGATGAGGAGGATGAGGAGGAGGAGGAGGAAGGACTAAACAGGAGGTGAAGGAAGAAGGAATGGGGGAATGGGGAAGGAAATTGCAAATGAGGGAGGGAGCATGGGGGATGGGGCAAGGACGGGAACAGGATAATGAAGGAGGGAGAGGAATAGGAAAATACCGCGTGTCCCCCCCTGCTGCCTGGACCCACCCCGGCATCGTGCCGCCCCCCTTGGAGGTTTTTGTGCGGAGGATGCCGACGCACATTGCGTCGTCTCCCACGCCCCACCTCTTGTGGTACCCCTGCGCCCCCGACATCCCCAACCGCACCCTCGAAACCTACCTCCTTCCGCCATCCTCCCTCCTTTGCCTTATCTCTCCTTCGTCCTCCCTCTTCCCTCGTCCTCTCCCTCTTGCTTTCTCCGCCCTCGCGTGGCTCACGTCGCGCCTGGGGGGCTCCGATTCCTACCGCGGCTTTGTGTTTGCAACAGCTGTCGGATGGCGAGACTGGACGAATTCGTTGAGTGCGGCTTTCAATGTGATCGGTTTGGTATGGAGTTGTATTGATTGCGATCGAGGGATACCCATCGAGTCTGAAACGTATGCCTGAAGTTCCACGCCTCGTCAAGTACCACGTCATTATTACCATGCTCATCCGCGTGGTGGCACTCGTGCTTTCGTTTCCTGAGCCACCCGTGGTCAGTGGTGTTTCTCACCTTCATCCTGCTGATCCACGTGTCTGGTAGTTGTGTATCTTCCAAGTTGTTGCTGAGCGGAGGTATTTCAAGTTTGTTTCACGCTCCAGAGACTTATCCCACGTGCGGAAAAGCGCCGAGGAACATCATGTGCGCCCGTCAGGCGAAGGGCTTTCCCCAAGTCTTATGTCGATGCAGTTCCCAAGTGTGGGGCCGCAGAGTTTCGCAGTGTCCGTTGCTAGGTGGTGGCTCCAAGGTGTGCGTTGGGTCTACCTGTAAGAGTCAGGTGGCTCGCGCCAGCCCGCGCCCCCCCCAAAAGTACAAACGTCAGAGCGTGAACTACCTACCCCGCTTTCGCTTCCAGGCAAAACCAAGCCATACCACGCGCCTCCTCGTCAGGCGGCCTGACCAGCACAGGCCGCAGTTTGGCATCGCTTGTTATCTCTTGGAAGCGAGGGTGGTCAAAAGCGAGGTAGGACGGTAATGCCTCCGGGAGGTCCTGGAGGCCTCTCGGGGACCTCCTGGAGGAGGAGGAGGAGGAGGAGGAGGAGGAGGAGGAGGAGGAGGAGGATCGCAGAAGTCCTCCGGAACACTGGGGCCCGAGCCCAGTGTGTCGTAGCCGGGTTTCCTTGGGGGCCTTGCCGGCTCTCTCTTTGGTCAGGAGGAGAAAAAACACACAGACACCATTCATCGGCGATTCCCAGAAAAGATGGGAAAATATGGGAAGTGGGGGGGAAAGACAAAGACCCCAAAAATATGGGAACATATGGGGAATAGTTTTATTCGTGTGTATTTATTTGTGTGTCCCAGCTCCCCTTCATTTGGGCCCGCGGAGCCGGGCGGTCCGCGTCGGAGGGTGCTGTTGGCCCGGACGGCGCGATGTCAGGTTCGCTGCCCGCTTCTCGAGAGAAGGGTTCGGGGCCGAGCGTGTCGCGCGGGGTCTTACCCTTGCAGATGTGGGTCGGCGGTCTTCGCGTCTCTGCCTGTGGGCTGAGGGGGAATCTGTGGGCGAGGCTCAGGGAAGGCTGTGGGCTGCAACTGTGAAGCGTTCTGGGAAACGCTTCGGGGCTTTGTCGGGGCCGCGCCCAATCGGGGTCGTCCACGGAGCGTGGAGATGCAGTGGGAGCTTGCAGCGTTCGTGGAAGGAATGAAGTGGGTCAAAGGGCGCGTGGAAGCATATGAAGGGCTCTTGGACAGCTTTTCAGGGGCACATTGGAGTGCTCATTGTGGCACTTGGGGGGGCTTCTGGAGCTTTCACGGGGCCGTTTTGGGGGGCCTCGCAGGGGCTTCTTGGACGCCCCTTCGGGGCGCCTCGGGGGCCTCGAGGGTGCTCAGGGTCGGCTTGGGGGGGACGGGCTCGACTAGTCAGGTCGCACTCGCCCTCTTGGGCCCTTCGGGAGGCCCAACAAAAGGGGCCTCTCTCTCTGGGGGCCCGTCGTCGGGGGCTCCGGGGTGGGCCGGGCCGTCGTCGGGCCCTCTCTCGGGTCGTTTTTGGGGGGCGCTCCCGGGGGCCTCACGGCCCGTCCTTGGGGCGCTCCTCTGAGAGGGCCCTTTGTGGCCGTTTCGGGCGCGGCCAGAACGAAGAAGGCGAGCATGCTGATAATATGGATGGCTTTCGCAGGCCCAGAGGTTGACACCAAGATCAATTTCGGCGGTGTGCTCCCACCGAGGGAAGGAGATCCCGATCTCCGCGACGGTGGTAGTATTCTGGCTTCCAAGGTGGCCGAAATATTGCCACCAACATTGCCACCAACACCGAAAGTCTAGGATCATCTCCCCCCTGTGGAGGCAAACACATGTGTTGCTGTTGCATTCCCAGGCTTCCAATGGCTTTCCAAAGGAATGGGGCAATTGTTGCGTATTGGGCCTCTCGACGGTTCTCTGGGAGCACTCTTGGGCCGTCTTGGGGGCCTCGTGGGCCGTCTCGACGATCTCTGGGACTGTCTTGGCGCTCCGTGTGGACCCTTTTGGGCTGTCTGGGAGCTTTTCCGAGGCCCTGGTGATCCTAGAGGGCGTTGGGGAGCCTGGAGACCCCCCCTCCTCCAATCGAATTTTGGACCCTGGGGGAGCGAGTGAGTGAGTGGGACGCGGGGCGCTGTCTCTTCAAAACGAGGACCCAACACCACATGATGGTTGGGAAACACATGGAAACATTATATCCTGTACGCGTGTGAACGATCAGCTTGACAAAGGACCCAACCATGTGCAATTGGAGGTACCGTCGCTGTATGCACCGCCTTCGGTGGAGCTCCCTATGGGGCCACGAAGCGTGCGAGGGGTGTGCCAACATGGGCGCGGTGGGCGCACGCGAGCGCCGGCCTTCGGGCCTTCGGTGGGGCTCCCTATGGGGCAACGAAACGTGTGAGAGCGCACCAAAACGCGAGCAGTCGGCGCATGCGAGCGCTGGCTGGCTTTCGGTGGATCTCCGTACGTACGAAACGTGCGATGGGTGTGCCAAAATGGGCGCGGTGGGAGCATGCGAACGCTGGCAGTTGGGTCTTCGGTGGAGCTCCCCACGGCCCACGAAACGTGTGAGGGGGTACCAACATTGGCGCGGCGGGCGAATGCGAGCGCTGGCATATGGGCCTTCGGTGGAGCTCCCTACGGGTCCACGTAGCGTGTGAGCGGTATGTCAGAACGGGCGCGGTGGGCGCATGCGAGCGCTGGCATTTGGGCCGTCGGTGGAGCTCCTTGTGAGGCCACGAAGCGTGTGAGAAGTGTGCCAAAATGGGTGCGGCGGGCGCATGCGAGTGCTGGCACTTTGGGCCTTCGGTGGGGGTCCCTATGGAGCCACGAAGCGTGCGATGGGTGTGCCACAATTGGCGCGGTGGGCGCCTGCGAGCGCTGGGATTTGAGCCTTCGGTGGAGCTCCCTACGGGGCCACGAAACGTGTGAGGGGCGTACCAAAGTGAGCGCAGTGGGCGCATGTGAGCGCTGGCATTTGGGCTTTCGGTGGCCCCCATGGAGCCACGAAGCGTGGGATGTGTGTGTGTGTGTGCCAAAAGGGGTACGGTGGGCGCATGCGAGTGGTGACACTTGGGCCTTCCGTGGAGCTCCCTATGGGGCCACGAAGCGTGCGAGGGGTGTGCCAGAATGGGTGCGGTCGGCGCATGCGAGCGCTAGCATCTGGGCTGTCTGTGGAGTTTTCTGTGGGGCCACGAAACGTGCGAGGGGCGTGCCAAAATATGCGCGGCGGGCGCATGCGAGCGCTGGCATTTGGGCCTTCGGTGGAGCTCCCTATGTGGCCACGAAGCGTGTGAGGGGGTGTACCAAAATGGGTGCGGTGGGCGCATGCGAGCGCTGGAACTTAGGCCTTCTGTGGAGCTCCCTATGGGGCCAGGAAGCGTGCGAGGGGTGTGTCAAAGTGAGGGAAGTGTCCGGAGGAGGGAGGAGGGGGATGAGGAAGAGGAGGAGAGGAGAGGAGAGGAAAGGAGAGGAGAGGAGAGGAGAGGAGAGGAGGTGGCACGCGAGGCGCTGTTTCTTCAAAACGAGGACCCAACACCACAGCATGGTTGGGATCAATACGCGGAGAGGGCGGGACACTCTCTGGACAGCGTCAGCGGAGAGAGGGGAGTAGCATTCATATTGTGTAATTGTAAGTATCTCGCACGCCTAGGTATTCAGGCCCGTCAACGGGGGTCGGCGGATTTTCTGGCTGGTCCGTGATATCTCACATTCGTTATGCTCTAGTGTGTGTCTGTGTGTTTCTGTTTGCGTGTGTGTGTGTGTGTGTTTGTCAGCCTTGGTGTTTCGTGGAGTTCGTCTTCCGGTGCGTACACGTGCGCATCCATGTCTTCTTGCTTTCTCCGCTTCTCCGCTACGCGGTGCTGTAGTTCTTGCTTTCTCCGCCCTACCATGTACTCCTTCCTTCCTCCCCCTCCTCCCTTTTCTTCACCGTACCCTTGCCCTCCTGCTGTGTATTGCTGCCGCCCTTCTCCACTCCTCGCTGCAATTTTGGCCCCCCTCTTCGCCCAACCCCTCCCCTTTACAGCCCCTCCTCAAACCTGCCGTCTGCCGCTTCAGGACATCGTCGTGATGTCTTGGGTCCAGAGATGGAAGATGGCCATGGACGTGGCCCAGGCGCGACCCGGATGAGGAAAAGGAGCCAGTGTAAAACCAAGATGCGTCAACGATGTTGCAATGCCCCGTCCCTCAAAGTTCATTTTTCATAGGGCCCGAGGCCACCATTAGGACTTATTATCAGTGTTGGAACTGCCCTATTGAAACACAACCGCTTGATACTCTTCAACCGTGCCAAAACACCATGCGTGGGACCTCAACGCCGCGAATCAGCGTGACTGGTGGGGTCATGTTAACCATACATCGTGCCAGATCGCGACTCCTGGGACTTCAACACCACGAATCCACGAGGCTGCTGCGTCCTGGCAATCCGAAATCGTGCCAGAACTGCTTTCGAGGGACTTTGATGCATCCTTGAAGCTGCTGCTGCTAACTTTCAAGGCAGAAGTGCGCGGCGCTGGTGCGAGAGCCACATGCTGAAGAGCACCGCTCGCCATTCATCCGTGAGACAGCCGCAAACGATTAAAACAAATGCGCGCGGCGCTGCGGCGACAGCCACTTTTTTGTGTTATATATACACACACCTGTAATTATATATAACAAAAAACGCCATCCGTCCTTCAAGCTGTTGCGAAGTTCAAGCTTCATGCTTATCACTGATGAGGAAGCTCAGGCGAAACGCCCAGCCCGCCCTGCCGACACGCCTGGGGGTGTGACAGGGAGGATGTGTTTATACGGAAAAGGGGCTGAATAGTAGATTGGGGGGGGGGAAAACGACGAAGAAGAAAGAGGTTAAGGAAGGAAGGGGAGGATGGAGGGAGGAATGGTGAGGGATGATTGAAAGGAGGAAGTGTGGAAGGAGGATTTAGGTGAGGATAAGGAGGACGGAAGATGAGGAGGAGGAGAAGGAGGAGGAGGAGTAAGGAACAATGCGAGACGGTGAAAAACATCATGCGAGCCGGATGATGATGAGGGGAAGGGTTTAAGCAATCGTTGTGCACGGCAGGCGTTCTTAGCAGTTGCGCTGCTCACTCTCCCTCCTTGTCGTCCTTTCCTCCCTTCTGCTCTTTGTCTTCCTTCTCTTCCGGGGCTGGTGCTTGGAATGGTGGAGTCCTTTTTCCGAAGGATTGCAAAACAACCTGGGTTTTTTTGCAATCCTTCGTTTTGCAATCCTGGGTTTTCTTTGCAATCCTTCGGTTTTTTTGCAATCCTTCGTTCAGTGGGGAAGTTGGCACTTTTCACCATCCGCGCATGAATTCGTTGGGGGCTCTGACGTGCTGGCGCTGTCTCCAACACTGGTCCCCCCACGTGTCCTTGACCCTGGCCGTCTGCTTATTGGGATCCCGTTTCTCGCCCCTCTCCTGCTCGTTCGTGGCTGGCCCCCTTTTCTTTTCCACATCACCCTGCTCTCTCTCTCTCTCTCTCTCTTTCTCCTCCTCTTCCTCCTCCTGCTCCCCCTCCTCATCCTCCGTCTCCCAGCTTCCCTCGTACCCCTTCATTTTCTCCGTCCATCCGCTCCTTCTCACCATCTTTCTTCGTCCCCTCATCTGTACCCTTCCCCCACTGTTCCCCCTCCTCTCCCTCCTCATTTGCCCCGTCTCCCCTCCTTCCTTCCGCCCCCTATATAGCCACCATCCTCCCCTCCCCATCACTCCGTCCTCCTCCTCATCCACGCACCCCTCCTTCCCCCATTACTCGCTTTCCCCCCTCTCCCTCTGCTCCTTCCCCAGCGTCCTCTCGGGGATCCTCCGAGAACCGAGAACCCGCTAACAGCAACGGAACCACACGACATATGCGGATCTTTTTGAAAGCCTGAGCTCACCTCCTCCCCCCTCCCCCTCATCCTCCGGAGGAGTTTCCAGAGGTCCCCGCGCAGGCTTCCAGGGGCACAGCAAAGGTCAACCACGCTCAAACAACGAATCTGCCCGTCTTGTTGTCCTCCCTTCTCCTTCCCTCCCTCTCCTCCTCAACAATTGCTCAATATGACTACTACTCTTCTCTCTCTCTCTCTCCTGACTCCGTCCGGAAGATGCTGAGCCTTCTCTGCGTATGGCGGTTTGAGCACAGGATTTCAAAACATGTGTTTCTCTAAGCAGTGTTGGCACCAAGGGTTTCTCATTTCTCTTCTGAGGAAGTGGATCTAGTGGTCGGTCCAGCCGGCTTTTGGCAACCTGTCGCCGCATTGCATTGTTTTGCATTGTGTCGCGTTGCTTTACATCGCTTTGCATCGCTTTACATGGCTTCGCATTCATTCACATTGATTCGTATTGCGTCTCACTGCTTCGCATTGCTTCGCATTGCTTTGCATTGCTAAACATTCCTTTGCCTTGCATTGCGTTGCGTTGCCTTTGCTTTGAAACGTTTTGGATTGATGTTGCACTGCTTTGCAATCGCGTTGCATTGTGTTGCACTGACTCGCATAGCTTTGCATTGCGTTGCGTTGCTGTTCGTGGCTTTACAGTGCTGGTTGTCTTGCATTGCGTTGCGTTGCTCGATCTGCACTGCGTTGCGTTTTTGTTGGCGCCATCCAGCTTGCACTGCACGGATTGCACCACGTTGATTGCACTGCCTGGATTGCGCCGCACACGCTGCAGGATCTCAGCGCAGGAGGCCCACGCTGGAAGACGCACGTATTTGTTTACCATCCCGCTGCCGCAGCTTCAACATGGTGCTCAAAGTGCAGCCTGGGCCACCTGAGGACTACACCAGAGGATATATATATATATATATATATATATTAACTAATAATTGGCTCGTGTTAAGAAACATGCAGCTTGGGCCACCTTTCGCGATCCGAGTCCTTCTTCATCGTTGTCGCCCCCCCCTCATTTCCCTCTTCCGCCTTCCCTTGGCCGTCTTGCTCCTCCCGCTCCTTCCGCTCCAGCTCTTGCTGCTGATGCTCGTCCTCGTCCTTTCCTCCTGCTAATCCTTCGTTTCCTCCTGCTCATCCACCACCTCCTCCTCCTCCTCCTCCTCCTCCTCCTCCTCCTCCTCCTATGTACGCAGCTCCTTTCTTTTTCGATTCCGCATGCTTAGCACAATTGGGGTCCCTTTGGAGTTCCAGGTCTGCTATGACACGCGTCGGTGAATAGAAACAAAAAGCAACAGCGCAAAGGGAAGGGATGGATGAGAGGGGTAGGATGTTAGATACGGCGCGAGCGCAGCTAGCTGGTCCTCCCCCCTCTTTGTTTAACATGAACACCACTCTGCCTCCTCCCCGGAAGCTGCCCGAAAGATGTCCCGCCCCCTCCGCGTGGCGTTTTTGCTACACACACATAATTTCACAAGTTGAGGAGGAGGAGGAGGAGGAGGCTGAGGCAGAGGAGGAGGAGGAGGAGGAGGAGGAGGAGGAGGAGGAGGAGGAGGGAGGAGGAGGAGAAGGAGGAGGAGGAGGAGGAGGGGGAGGAAGCGGAGGAGGAGGAGGAGGAGCAGGAGGAGGAGGAGGAGGAGGAGGAGGGAGGAGGAGGAGGAGGAGGAGGAGGAGGAGGAGGAGGAGGAGGAGGAGGAGGAGGGGAGGAGGAGGAGGAGGAGGAGGAGGAGGAGGGAGGAGGGAGGGAGGGGAGGAGGGGGGGAGGAGGGGGACGAGGAGGGGAGGCGGAGGGGGGCTGTATGCACGCAGCCTTCTCTGTGGGAGGGGGGGGGGGGGCGGGCCCCGAGGGACGGGCGCGCCCCTGGCCGCCGCCATGCGCTGGCCGACGCCCCCCCGCGGGCGGCCGCGAGGCTGCCCCGCGGCGCGGCTGGCCGCGTGCTGCTGCTGCGGGGCCCGCGGGGCCGCCGCGGGGCCCCCCGCGGGCCTGCTGCCCTGCGCCCGCGCCCCGGCGGCCTGCGTGGAGGCCCTCGGCCTGGAGCCGCTGCGGGAGCTCGGCAGGCGGCCGCGCGCGCGGAGCAGGGGGGGCGGCCGTGGACCCCGAGGCCCGGACCCCGGCAGGCCTTAAGAAAACTATCGCGACGGGCGGTCTTCCTCTCCACATGTTCGAGCTCCAGGGACCCCGCCGCCTGGCCTCGGGGCCGACAAGAAACGGCTCTGGGCGAAAAAAACCGGTCCTGGGGAAGGGGTCGAGATCTTTGGGGGGGGCATCTTTTTCCGCGAGGGGCGTCTGCGCCCAGTTTCGGGCCCCGGGGCCCTCGCAGATCGATCGAAGGCTCCAAAGATGCCGCAGAAAGATGGGGTCCGGGGCTCCGGCGGTGATCTTTTGCGATGTCGCATTTTAGTTCGTAGCTCAGGAGGGGAAAAAACACACAGACACAATTCATCGTCGACTCCCAGGAACATATAGGGAAATATGGGAAGTGAGGGGGAAGACAAAAACCCAGAAGCATGGGAAAATATTATAGGAATTCTGGTATTTGTGTGCATTTATTTGTGTGTCCCAGGGCCCCTTCAGTAACGTCGGATCTCAGGGGAGCGCGGCTGCTGTCCTGCAGAGGGTCGGAGCCAGCCAGGGGACGCAGGTGGCCCAGCAGTGGTCCCGGCCAGCAGGAAGCGGGGGCATTCTGGTCGGGTATGGCCAGGACCCCGGGTAAGTCGGGGGCGGCAAAGAAGGGGGTGATGACTAGGGGGGGTGGATATCATGGCGGGGGCCATGATATTTCCTCATATTTCACGGCGCCTCTTCTTACTCCATTACGTCCCTGGCCCCCCCGCTGGGCCGCGCACATGCCGCCGGCCATGATTTGCACCCCCCCCTCTTGGACACCCCCCTCTTTGCCGCCCCCGAGTAAGAGGACCCTGTTAGTGGTAGGGCCCCGGAGCCTTCGAATTGGCCAGAAGCACTAAACCAGGTTTACCATAGCTGGTGTTTTTTCGGGTGACGGCAGTTCCCGTTAGTGGAAATGGGACGGGGGGGCGCCCCCGGTACAGATCACTAAAGCAGGTTCCACTAAACCCACCCAGTTCTACCAACGCCCGATCTGGGCCCCATGAAGATTTTTATTGCCATGTTCTGCCTCTGGGGGCCCTTCGTCGTCGTCGTCGTCGGTGTCGTCGTCGTCGTCGTCGTCGTCGTCGTCGTCGTCGTCGTCGTCGTCGTCGTTGTAGTCGTCGTCGAAGTCGTCGGAGACGTCGTCGGTGTCGTCGTAGTCGTCGTCGTCGACGTCGTCGTCGTCGTCGTCGACGTCCCTGTCTTCGTCGGCGTCGGTGTCGTTGCCAAGTGCCATTTGGTATCTACCGTCACGGTCTTAAGAGGTTTTGCAAACCAAGTTGCGGGTGGGTGGGTTGGATGTTTGCAAGAGCATGGGATGTGTCAAACCATTGGTAAACATCAAATGCACCACATAGATTTCACCAGTTGCACAACCTAGATCGCAACACATCTATTGCACACCAAAACACCACATCGATCGTTCATCACAGATTGCACCACGTAGGTCGCACCGCACAGATTGCACGCACATCTTGTGCCACATAGTGCGAAGGCCTTACGGCCGGTGCCGCTGACCCTCAAGACGACGAATATGAAAACGAACGGGGGGAATAAGGAGGAGGAGGAGGAGGAGGAGGAGGAGGAGGAGGCGGAGGAGGAGGAGGAGGAGGGAGGAGGAAGAGGAGTGTGGGAGGGGAAGAGGAAGGGTGGAGGAGGCGGATGAGGGAGGAGGAGGGGGGGAAGGATGAGGAGGAGGAGCAGGAGGAGGAGGAGGAGCACGAGGAGGGTGAGCTGGAGAGGGAGGGGGGGGAGAAGGAGGAGGAGGAGGGGGAGGAGGAGGAGGAGGAGGAGGAGGAGGAGGAGGAGGGAGGAGGAGGAGGCGAGCGGAGGAGGAGGAGGAGGAGGAGGAGGAGGAGGAGGAGGAGGAGGAGGAGGAGGAGGAGGAGGAGGAGGAGGAGGAGGAGGAGGAGGAGGAGGAGGAGGAGGAGGAGGAGGAAGAAGAAGAAGAAGGAGGAGGAGGAGGCGAATGCGGAGGAGGAGGAGGCGAATGCGGAGGAGGAGGAGGAGGAGGAAAAGGAAGAGGAGGAGGATGAGGAATAGGAGGAGGAGGAGGAGGAGGAGGAGGAGGAGGAGGAGGAGGAGGAGGAGGAGAAGTGGGGGAGCAGCGAGAGGAATGCGGAGGAGGAGGAGGAGGAGGAAGGAGGAGGAGGATGAGGAGTGGGGGAGCAGCGAGAGGAAACGAGTAGGAGCAACCAATTCTGGATGCCTCGGCCCTCGACGGAAATGGGAGGGAGAGGGCGGGGACAGAACCTTTTCCGAAAATCTATGAATATGGCCTCTCCGGGCCTTCTTGAGAGTCTTTTTGGAGCTCTTTTGACCCGTTTGGGCCCCCCTTTGGGCGTCCTTAGGCGTTCTTGGGCTGTTTTGTGGGGTTTAGGCCGTCTAGGGGCGCTTTTGCAGATCCGTCGTGGCGACCCCCCCCTCCTCCAGCGCATCTACGGAGGGCCCCTCTGCAAAAGCCGCAGACGGGGGATGGTAGTCTGACCCGGGACCCTCCCCCCCCCCGGCGGGGAAGGGATCAAAGGGAAGGGGCTTCCCTTCGACTCAATGGCAACGTTGTTAATTTCGCTTTGGCCGGGTTGCTTCATTTCGCTTTGGCTGGCGCGTTTGAGGACGAGGGCCCAGGGAAAGAGGGGGGAGCGGCGACGGACCCAGAAAAGAAGACGAGTACGTACGAGGACAACTACCACGACGAACAACTCATTCCACACGCCGACAGGGTCGGCGGATGTTGCACCACGTAGGTTGCACCATGTATACACTATAACATGATACGGTGGGGGCGTTCGTTAAGGAATGCGCCCAGGGGGCTTCAGACCCTGGAGGGTTCCTTATCTGATGAGGGCGGCGGTGATATCCGTGGCCAATCCACGATTGGAGTTCCACCGGCTTCCGGACCCTGGATTCCTTATCGGCGGTTTCCGTATCAAATGCCCCCACCGTAGCACGAAACACAGTGCGAAGCATATACTGCAATCTACATACATAAGTAGATAGATAGACATATAGATAGATAGATAGATAGATAGATAGATAGATAGATATATAGATAGATAGATAGATAGATAGATATATAGATAGATAGATGGATAGATAGATAGATAGATAGATAGATAGATAGATATACAGATATATAGATAGATAGAGAGACCTATACATATATATATATATATATCGATATATGAATATATAGATATATACATAAAACTAAATACATGTTTATGGGGCAGGGGACCTCGGAACAAAACAAAAAAAAACATATTCCCCACCTAGCGAATTTGGCCCAATCTGGGCTTCTCGGGCAGCCCTCCAGACGACCCCGGAGAACCCCACGAGAGCCCGAAGACGGCCCCAGAGGCCTCCAGGCTTTCGGGCGCGCTCCCGAAACGACCCCAGGCGCTCCAACAAGACGGGAATTTTGGGGTTCTCATCTTTTCGGCTTCCCGACGCTCCAAGACGGCGGTCTTCTGGGCGTCCGAAGCCGCCTGCGAGGCTCGAAATTCGCCCCACGACCATCCGAAAGAGCTTCCAGGCAGTCCAAGAGAGCCCCAAGACGGCACAACAGGGTTCCAAGATGGCCTAAGAGAGCCCCATGACGGCCCAACATGGCCCCAAGACACCCTCCGAAGCATTCCGAATCGTGACCCCGTCGCTCAGGGAGACCGCGGTTGGAGGGAGGCAGGGTGGCCCGAGGAAACCCCCAGAGGCCTCCAGAAGACGCCCAGGAGGCCTCCAGAAGGCCTTCAAGAAAGCCTGAGGAGCTTGTGTGAGGCCCCCAGATGCTCTCCAAGGAGGAGCTTTCGCAAAAAGAGTTGAGGATGATGGGGAAAATACGCAGGGTAGGGCGAGAATGAGGAAACACAGGATGGAGGAAGGAGACATAATAACATCATAGTAACGACGATGCCGGAAACAAGCAACAAGGATTTATCGCTAAATAGTCGGCTAGACCTTCTTGCATTTCCGCCTGCACACCAAATTTCAAGGACCAAGGTGCATGGCGCGAAGCGCCAATGCAGTCTTGTGTGTATATGTAGTGCACAGCATAGAGTGCAAAGCGTAGGTCGCACAACATATGGTGCACAGCATAGGTTTTGCACAACGTAGATCGCACCGCATAGATTGCACCACCTAGACTGTACAATGCGTGTATATGTATAACTCATGAATATTCACGAACTTAGTTTTCCAACCATGCGGCACAACATGGATAGCTAGAGGCACGGTGCTTAGGGTCCTCGCGGGCTCACACATGTATACACCTATATTCAGATTCCCAGACCAGTTCTTGCACTTCGGGTTTGAGGAGGAGGAGGAGGAGGACGAGGAGGAGGAGGAGGAGGAGGAGGAGGAGGAGCTGGGCCTGCGGTCGGTCTGGCGGCTCCGTGGTCGCCGTCGCCGCCCCGTCGCCGCCTCGGACGGCACCACATAGCTCGTGCCTCATAGATTGCACCACATGGGTTGCACCACATTGGTTGAATCACATTGATGGGAGAACATAGATTATACTATACATGTGCACCACATATATATAGATATCTCTATATATATAAGTATGTTGCTCACATAGGTTGGCACCATCGATTGCGCACCAACTGCATTGCACCACAACTACTGCACCACAACGATTGCACCAAGTAGACAGCATCACATGAAATTCGCCACACTGCTTGCACCACATGGACTGCACATCATAGGCTGCACCACATATATTGCACATCTAATGAACGACCTTTTGCAAAGCAAAGATTGCACAACGTAAGGTGCACAACAAATATTGCACAACAAGGTTGCGCCGTGTAGATGCGCAGCATAGATCGCAACACATACGTTGCACAGCACCGATTGCACCATTGCATAGAAAGCACAACGTAGATTGCACAACACATGCGGCTACAACATACTAGTTGGGGTCCTCGCTGGCTAGCATGTGTAAGTGCGTGTTTGTGTGTTAACCAGCGTCGATCTCAAGTAGTTCTCAGCCTACTGGGTATTGCACCCGAAGTGCAAACTATCCTGCCCAATCTAAGTAGTGTGAGCTATGTGGTATAAGCCATGCGGTGTCATCGTTGTGATTGCGCTGTGATATGTAAGCGATGCGGTGTAAACCATGTGGTATAGCCTACGATGCATGAGCTATGTAGTGCAATATTGGTGGTGCAACCTATGTGATGCTAAGCAATGCGAAGCGATTTAACGCAATGCGAAGCAGTGCAATCCAATCAGGTTGCGACTGCAATGCAGCACGATTACAATGCAATGCGATTTCAAAACAGTGAAATTGCAATGCAATGCAATGCGATTGGAACATGCTACGCGGTTTCAATGCAGTGCGATTGCAGTGCAATGCAACGCAATGCGATTGCAACACAAGGCGATTGGGATGCAATGTGATTCTATTGCAATTCGATGCGGTTGCTATGCAACCGGGAGGGAGGGGGTGCAACGGGGACGGGGGGTGGAGTGCATCGGGACGGTGACGGACGGCGGCGACGGCCAGCGACGGCGACATCAAGCCGGCCGAGGCGGCAGCCAGGCCCAGAAGCAGCGGCGACGGGCGGCGACGGCGACAACCAGCCGGCCGAGGCGGCAGCCAGGCCCAGAAGCAGCGGCGACGAACGGCGGCGACGGGCGGCGACGGCGACGACCAGCCGGCCGAGGCGGCAGCCAGGCCCAGCTCCTTGAAGCCAAGTCAGAAAGCCTAAGTACAAGCACTGTTTTGGGAATGCACCTCTCTCTACATATGTGTAGTTATATTGAACGTAGGTGCATTTTTTATCTGTCAGCCATCGTAGACCCCAAACAGTGTGTTCCTAGCTATGTAATGGCATGTGCGAGTTATGTCGAGAGATCTATGTTGCGCAAGATGTGTGGTGCAATCTCTGTGGTGCGCAATTTAAGTTGTGCAATAATTCCGCTGCAATCTATGGGGTGCACCCTGCGTGGTGCGATCTATGTGGTGCGCAGTACATGCGGTGCAATCGATGTGGTGCTATCTAAGTGGTGCAATCTTTATTGTGCCATCTACGTGATGCAATATACATATATATATATATATATATGTATATAGTGCGGTCTGCGTGGCGCAGTATATGTGGTGCAGCCTATGCGGTGCAATCCACATTGTGCAATCGATGCTGTCCAGTATACGTTGTGCAATGTGTGTGGTGCAATCTATAGTGTGCAATACATGTGGTGCAATATATATATATATATATATATATATGTTGTGCAACCTATGTGGTGCAATATATTATTTGCAATCTACGTTGTGCAACTCAGGCGGCGACGGGGTTACGACGGCGACAGTATACCCGCCAGAGCGGCACACCGGCCCAGACGACGGGCGGCGACGAGGCGGCGACGGGGCGGGGACGGCGACTACATAGCCGCCACAGCAGAATACCAGTCGAATCCCTCATTCCACGAGTAAGAACCCCTAAGTGCAAGTACTGTTTGGGGAACATAGACTTCTAGACACAAGAACATCCATAACAGTAGTGATAGTAATCATAGCAGTGATATCATGATAGAATGATAGCAGTGAAAGAAACAAAAACTCAGGCCATCCTCGGGCGCTGGAGGTGTCAGGAAAAATACGGCTGCAGGACGAGTGGACGCTGGCCCCGTGGGGAAGGCCCCTGGGCCCAGGGCCCGCTCTTCCTGCGGGGGCGGCCCGGCTTGCCAGCGGGAGCAGCTCTCCCCCCTCGTGCCCGCGAGGTGGGCCGACGACGGAGCGCCGAGGGCCGCGGCGCCGCCGGACGTCGAGGGGAGCCATCGGCGCACGCATCCGGTGCCGATGCTCAGAAGAGGGCCAGTGGGGGCAGTAGCAGTTGGCCTTCCCAGCGATCCAACATACTGAGTGAACGAGGCGCAGGGTTTTCCCCCGTTTTCGGCATCTCCTGGGGCCCTCGCCAGGCCCCAGGACCCTCAAGAAACTCTGTTTTTGATTCGCGGGTCGAGAGCGCACACCTCTTCCAGTCGAAGCTGAGCGGGCCGCGCGAAGCTTAACCATCAAGAAACATCACAGGGCAAGAGGCCGGTCCCAGAGTGTGAGCCGAGACTTCCAGGGTCCCCGTATCGAGGCATCGGATCTTTGGGTTCGGGGGGGCACCCTCGTCGCCACGGCACGGCTCAGCTCTGGAAGCTGGTGCGTTTGGACCGGGGACTGGGTCCAGGGGCCGATCTCGAGCTGCTACCATTGTAGGACGTCGTCCTGCTCCGAGATGTGCAGGGCAGGCTCCCTTGTTCTCGCCCTCCCGGTCTTCCCGCGGAGCCCACTCTGCCGTCGCCGCGGCGCGCATCGCCCGGGAGTCCGAGTCGGGCGCGCACCGAGGAAGAGGGGCCTGGGAGTGGCGACATCGGCCCGGACATGTGACGATCTGACTTGTTTCAATCCGCCACCCCGGAGCTCCCGACCGCTTCTCTGGGAGCGCTGTCTCGCCCCGGATCCGTTCTTGACGTCCCTGGGGCCCGAGAGGACCGAAACTGAGAAGAACCCGCTGTCCGAACAAGAACACGTCGCCAGAACGAGAGCTCTGGGGGCATCTCTTGGCTCCATGGCAGGACGGGCTCTCCGAGCCGCTCCCCGACCTGGGCTCGCGGCTGGAGCTCGCCGCGTTCGCGCTGTTCCGGGACCTCGGCCTCGCGCTCTTCGCGCTCGTGCTCGACCTCGCCGTGCTCTGCCAGGCGGCAGACCCGCGCTGCGCCGAGACGGCGGGGCTCCTCCAGCAGGTGGGCGGCCTGCGGGAGGCCCTGGAGGCGCGCATGGTGGCGCTGGCGGCGGAGTACTCCGCGCAGGCGGGCGTGCGCTCCGCCGTGCTCCGCGCGGGCCGCAACGTGCGGTCGGAGCTGGAGGGCGCCGCGCACGGCCTGGGCGGAGCCCCCGACGCGCAGGCGGGGGGGGGGGATGGGGCGGCGGAGGAGGAGGAGGAGGAGGAGGAGGAGGAGGAGGAGGAGGAAAGGAGGGGGAGGAGGAGGAGGAGGAGGAGGAGGAGGAGGAGGAGGAGGAGGAGGAGGAGGAGGAGGAGGAGGAGGAGGAGGAGGAGGGAGGGAGGAGGAGGAGGGGGAGAGAGGACGACGAGCAGGAGGGCGCCGCGCACGGCCTGGGCGGGGCTCCCGGCGCGCAGGCGGCCTTCGACTGGGTGGCGGAGCTGACGCTGGCGACGGGCCGGCACGCTCGCGCGCTGGCGGCGCAACTCGGCCTGCACGCCTGGGTGCGGACGCTGGCGCTCGGGAAGCGAACACACATGTATATATATATATATATATATATATATATATATAACGGCGCACCGGGTCCGGGGGCCCGGGGCCGGGACCCCGACCACAAATGTGGGCTCCGGGGGGCCCGGAGGCTCGTCGGACCGCCGGACGCCGTCCAAGATCGTTCGCAGGCGGCTTCGGAACGCGCTCCGATGGCTCCAGATGCCTTCCAAGACGCCTGTCATGACACCAAGAAGGTCCCAGAAGCCTCCAAGACGCTCCGAGAGGCAGCCCAAGAGAGGCCCAAGAAGCAAAAATCGTGCCATTCCTATGGGAAAACGTATATTTTTCGCATGTTCGCCTCTTGGGCTTTCACCGCGTCCAAGACGGCCCAAGAGGCGCCCAAGACGGTCTACGAGGCCTCCGGGAGCGCTCCAAGGCTGCGCACGAGTGGCCCAGGACGGCCCCAAGACGGCCGAAGAGAGCCCCAAGACGAGTTCGAGAGGGGTCCCAGACGGAGAAAGCCAACCTCGAATTCCGAGCTTCCGGCCCAAGAGGCTCCAGGAGGCGCCAAAATGCCGCCAAGAGGCGCCAAAAGGCTCCCAAAAGCACCCCAAGACGTTCCGAGAGGCACCCCAAGAGAGGTCCAAGAAACAAAAATCGTGCCATTCCTATGGGAAAACGTATATTTTTCGCATGTTCGCATCTTGGGCTTTCACCGCTGCCAAGACGGCCCAAGAGGCCTCCAAGACGGCCTAGGAGGCCTCCGGGAGCGCTCCAAGGCTGCGCACGAGTGGCTCAGGACGGCCCCAAGACGGCCCAAGAGAACCCCAAGACGACTTCGAGAGGGGTCACAGAAGGAGAAAGCCACTCTCGAATTCCGAGCTTCCGGCCCAACATATCCCAGGAGGCGCCAAAACGCCGCCCAGAGGCGCCAAAAGGCTTCCAAAAGCACCCCAAGACGTTCCGAGAAGCACCCCAAGAGAGGTGCAAGAAACAACAATCGTGCCATTCCTATGGGGAAACGTATATTTTTCGCATGTTCGCATCTTGGGCTTTCACCGCGTCCAAGACGGCCCAAGAGGCCTCCAAGACCGCCCTAAGACGGCCCAAGAAGCTTCCAAGAGGGCCCCAGGGCAGCCCAAGAGGGCCCCAAGACGGCCCAAGAGGCGCCCAAGATGGCCCAAGAGGGCCCCAAGACGGGCCCAAGAGGGGGCCCAGAGGGGGACCACGAACCGCAAGCTCGAGCCTTCCGCCCCAAGAGGCCGCCAGGAGGCCCCAAGGAGGCCCCTCAAGAGGCCCCAGGAGACCCCCAAGAGGCCCAAAGGAGGCCCCGAGAAGCCCCAAATCGGCCCCCAAAATGCTTCGAACCTGCTTCCAGGAGGCCCCCGACAGGTTCAGAGGCTCCCGAGAAGCTACGTCAAACTCCCAGCGAGCGGCCGGACGAGGCCCCCCACAAAATCACAAGAGGGTTCCAGTATTTGTATCCTTCAGCGCTCTCTGGCCTTCTTCCCCCTGCCCCCTTCCCTGCGAGTTTCGTTGACTCAAGCTCGCCTCCTAGCTAGAACCTAAGCGCGCGCGAAGCGCGCGCGTGGTTCTAGTATATATATGTATACGTACATACAGACACACATACATACGTACAATACAGACATTCATCTAGACATACATGCATACATACACACACAAACAAACATGCACACATACATACCGACCTACCTACCTACCTACCTACCTACCTACCTACATACGTACAATGAATACGTACGTGCATACGTACGTAAATACATGCATACACACATACATACATGTAAACAAAATCCGTGCAATCATGCATGCATGCATGTCCGTGTATACATACATACATACATACATGCATACATACATACATACGTACATACATATATACATACATACATACATACATACATATTCACAAGGATACATACATACATACACGCATGCATACATACATACAAACGAGCATACATGCATGCATGAATGCAGAGAAGGATGCGTACATGCATACATGCATGCATACACAGACGTACACATACATTCATAGACATATACATACATACATGCAAACCTGCATACATGCATGTATGCATGTATGCATGTACACGCATCTATTCAAGCATACATGCAACCATACATGCATACATGCATACATACATACAAGCATACATACATTCATACGTACACACAGTCATTCATACATACAGACATATGTACCTGCAACCATACATACATATATGCATGCTTGCATGCAGGTGTACACACATGTATACGCATACATGCATACATGCATTCATATATGCATGTATGCATGCATACATACGTACACTCCTACATACGTATACACATACATATAATCATACATACATACGTCTATGCATACACACATACACACATACATACATACGTACATGCATGCACACACATATGCACACACATACACACATACACACATACATACGTACATTTATATACACATACATGCATACATGCACACATACGCAAATAAGTGCATACATACACATACATGCATACATGCATGCATGCATGCATCCATACATACACGCATACACATACCTACACGTATACATGCATGTATGCATGCAATCATACGTACAAGTGGACACATATATATATATATATATATATCATATAAACAAGACTGGATGTGCATTTCTCGCCATACAATTTGGTCCATGAAGTTTGGTATGCAGGCGGAATGACAGGAAGGTCAAACCGCCAATTGAGCGAGAATTCCTTGTTGCCTTTTCCGGCATCTCCGTAAATACCATGATATTCGTTATTCCATGCTTCTTGTTTCCTCATTCTTGCCCTACCCTGCGTGTTCTCCCCATCCTCCTCAGCTCTTTGTGGAGGGTCCTCCCTGGAGAGCCCCTGGAGGACTCCCAGAAGTTTTTCAGGCTTTCTTGATGCCTTCTGGAGGCCTCCTGGGCGTCTTCTGGGGGCCTTTGGGGGCTTCTTCGGGCCACCTTGCCTCCAAGCGCGGTCTCACTGAGCGACCGAATGCTTCGGAGGGTGTCATGGGGCCATCTTGGGCCGTCATGGGGCTCTTAGGCCATTTTGGAACCCTGTTGTGCAGACTTGGGGGCTCTCTAAGACTGCCTGGAAGCCCTGTCCAATAGTTGCGGGGCGATTTTCAAGCCTTCCAGGCGGCTTCGGACGTCCAGAAGACCGCCGTCTTGGAGCGTCGGGAAGCCGAAAAGAGGATAACCCCACAAAGTTCGCCAGAAACAAGCAGACAACCAAATAATTGTACCTCTTGGGGCCTTCTTGGGAGTGCTCTTGGAGGCCTCTTGGGACGTTTCGCAGCGATCTTTGAGGGTATGACGGCTTCTTTGGGGTCATCGTGGACCGTCTTTGGGCTTTCTGGGGTCGTTTCGGGAGCGCGCCGGAACGCCTTGAGCCCTCTGGGGCCGTCTTCGGGCTCTCGTGGGTTTCTCTTGGTTCGTCTGGAGGGTTGTCCGAGAGGCCCAGGGTGGGCCAAATTCGTAAGGGGGGGGCGGTTTTTTCAGGGTCCCTGGCCCTATGAAAATTGATGGATAGGAATATGCCCACATAGCTACGTACACACAACTGTCTATATGTGTATATATATATATATATATATATATATATATATGTTGATGTATGTATGTATGTATATATATATATATAATCCAAGACTGCATTTGCGTTTCGCGCCATGCGCCTTGTTCTGGACGCTTCCCCAGCAAAGCAATACATCATCGCTTGCTTCAGCAGGGGGGGCCGAGGCCTGGTCGGGCGATCGGTTAATTTTTCTGATATCCCTGATGCCTGCTGGCACCGCGCTCGCCCGATGCGCTTGCACGCTTGTGCGCTGGAGCGGGGAAGGATGATGATTTTTTCCCAACCATCCTGTGGTGTTGGGTCCTCGTTTTGAAGAGACGGTGCCCCGCGTTCCCTCCTCCTCCCGCTGCCCCCTCCCTCCTCCCCCTCTTCCCTGCGTTTCACCCACCCAGTACAGCGTTTCGTAGCCCCATAGGAGCTCCACCGAAGGCCCCAGTACCCGCGCCCGCATGCGTCACCCACACCCAATTCGGCACACCCCTCACACGTTTCGTGGCTCCATAGGGAGCTCCACCGAAGGCCCCAGTGCCCGCGCCCACATGCGTCACCCACACCCATTTCGGCACACCCCTCACACGTTTCGTGGCTCCATAGGGAGCTCCACCGAAGGCCCCAGTGCCCGCGCCCGCATGCGTCACCCACACCCATTTCGGCACAGTGGCTCCATAGGGAGCTCCACCGAAGGCCCCAGTGCCCGCGCGTCACCCACACCATTTCGGCACACCCCTCACACGTTTCGTGGCCCCATAGGAGCTCCACCGAAGGCCCCAGTGCCCGCGCCCGCATGCGTCACCCACACCCATTTCGGCACACCCCTCACACGCTTCGTGGCTCCATAGGGAGCTCCACCGAAGGCCCCAGTGCCCGCGCCCGCATGCGTCACCCACACCCATTTCGGCACACCCCTCACACGTTTCGTGGCTCCATAGGGAGCTCCACCGAAGGCCCCAGTGCCCGCGCCCGCATGCGTCACCCACACCCATTTCGGCACACCCCTCACACGTTTCGTGGCTCCATAGGGAGCTCCACCGAATGGGCACCCAGTGCCCGCGCCCGCATGCGTCACCCACACCCATTTCGGCACACCCCTCACACGTTTCGTGGCTCCATAGGGAGCTCCACCGAAGGCCCCAGTGCGTCCGCGCACACGCACACGCATCTCCACCGAAGGCACACCATTTCGGCACACCCCTGCACACGGCACACCCCTCACACGTTTCGTGGCTCCATAGGGAGCTCCACCGAAGGCCCCAGTGCCCGCGCCCGCATGCGTCACCCACACCCATTTCGGCACACCCCTCACACGTTTCGTGGCTCCATAGGGAGCTCCACCGAAGGCCCCAGTGCCCGCGCCCGCATGCGTCACCCACACCCATTTCGGCACACCCCTCACACG